AGATAGGCTCACTCTTGAACTTAAAAATAAAGGGGAATCAGAATATTTTGAAGTCTGGAACAGATTTTATGATTGGTATAAGACAAGGTGACAACTGGAACAAACTGTATATATTGTGATTGGACAGAAGGATAGACAATGTATTAAGTAGGCTAATAGTTAATGGTTGAGACTAGTTGTATATAATGTGAATGTATGGTCACTTCGACTTCGCGGTACTGCATTGTTTCAAATGTAAAAATAATAAAAATATATTCCAAAAAAAGTGCTGTAAAGCACTGTAGAGTGGTATATACGTGTTTTTGCTATTTCTGAAAACCAAATTAAATATACTCAGCAGAAGTTCATCCTCTATGTGAACAGCGGAAGACAGTCCCCATTTTTTTCTTATTGCACATTCATTTCCTTCACATACAATTATTCATGCTTTTCCTATTTCCCAATACATTAAAATATGTGACTTATGAGAAATCTTACTTTTACTTCTTACAGATGCAGAAAAATGTACCAAATGTCCAGAAGATCGACATCCAAACATCCTTCGAGATAATTGTATTCCCAAGATTAAAACCTTCCTATCCTATCAAGAGAATCTGGGGATCATCCTGGCGTTTTTTGCTTTCTTCCTCTCTTTCCTCACAGCCTTTGTCTTGGGAATCTTCATTAAATTCCAAGACACTCCAATTGTCAAAGCCAACAATCGGGACCTCTCTTACATACTCCTGGTCTCCCTCCTGTTTTCTTTCTTCACCTCCTTCTTGTTCATTGGCCAGCCAATCAGAGCCACCTGCCTTCTCCGACAGATAACCTTCAGCATCATCTTCTCAGTTGCCATTTCTTCTGTCTTGGCCAAAACAATCACAGTGGTGCTGGTTTTCTTGGCCACAAAACCAGGGAATAAAGTTCAGAAATGGCTGGGGAAGAGCTTGACCATCTCTATTGTCCTTTCTTGCTCTGGTGCCCAAATAGTCATATGCAGCAGCTGGCTTGGCACTTCTCCCCCATTTCCTGAGTCTGATCTGCACTCTCAGCCTGGAGAGATCATCCAACAATGCAATGAAGGATCCATCACCATATTTTACTGTGCCCTCAGCTATATGGGCTTCCTGTCTGCTATCTGCTTCATGGTGGCTTTTATGGCCAGGAATCTGCCTGGGGCCTTCAACGAAGCCAAGCTGATCACGTTCAGCATGCTGGTCTTCTGCAGTGTCTGGATCTCCTTTGTGCCCACCTACCTAAGCACCAAAGGAAAATACATGGTGGCCGTGCAGGTCTTCTCCATCTTGGCCTCCAGTGCTGGATTGCTGAGCTTCATTTTTTTCCCCAAATGCTACATTATTTTCCTAAGACCAGATTTGAATACAAAAGAACATTTAATGTCAAAATAAAGTAATCAAGTGCATTTTGTATAGCTGGTTCCCAAAAATTCATATTTTATCAGTATTGGACACTTTATTGAGCTTTTTTTTTAAAAGTAAACGAAAGCTAAACAACATTGTTTTTTCCTCTATTTCTCCATTATTTCAACTTTATTATGTCTTCAGATGATGGAAATAGTCTACCAGCTTTTTAATAAATGTGATTTTCCCTTTCTCTTTGCTACTGAGTGTTTAGAAAAGTTCATAGGTATGTATGGATGCTTTGTGTGAGTGTGTAACAGAATTTTCTCAACCAAGGACACAAATATCTTGAAGCACATTTTTTAATTTGATTGCAAAAAGTGGGGCTAATGTGATCTGGAATCCCACCTTATGCTCTTATGTAAATTGGAGCAGAGTGGTGATAAGATAAAGAAGCAAGTTATCTGAACTGCTAGAAACAACAAGAATTTGATTGGATATAGAATCAATATCTAGTGAGGTTGATGAAACAATTGATTATGTGTCATTATGCCAGCTCTTATAAAATTTTATCCATGACAAACCATGCTTAAAAAATAGACTCCCGAGCTCCAATTTTGACTGTGACAATCTCCTGCAACCCTCTGCCAGCAAAAACAGAGCTTGCGAATGTTGCCCACAGCCCTCACGAGCTCCAGTTTTAGCTGCAATGGCCTCCTGCAACTCTCTGCCAATGAAAACGGAGCTCAGGAGGGCTGTATGCAGCTCTCACAAGCTCCATTTTTTGCTGTCAGAGGCAACACAGGCTGGTCCACTGTTTCCAGGCCAGCCCTGTGGGCCAGAACTAACCACCACATAGGCCCCGAATCTGGTCCCCGGGCACCCATGCAATAGATACTTTGCAGATTCCTCAGCATGATCCTGAATGTGAATCTCAGGATCCCCTTTACCCAAAAGGATCTGGGTCATTTTCAACAGGGCTGCCAGTTGGCTATCTGCAGGTGTAATAAGGGAGGAGAAATATTTGTGCTTTTCCACATTTAGCACCATGAAATAGGTAGGCATTAACAATGGCTGTCACTTGTGTTCATTTTTTTTTGTTCTGTGCCAGCAGTACTCCAAACATCTTGTAACCCAGAGATCTGGAATACCTAACTGGTATAAGACATTAGAATCAGGTTTCCCAGAAACATACTGCCCCATCACCCACCCTACCACCCCTGATCTTTAATCACTGAGATGATTTATGGTTCTTGTAGATCAGGGGTATCAAACTCAAAGCCTGGGGGCTGGATCCAGCCCATGGGGTGCTTAGATCCAGCCCACAGGGCTGCCCTGGAAATAGTAAAGGACCAGCCTGTGGTGCCTCCACTAGCTAAAATGGAGCTCGTGAGGGTCATGTGTAGACCTCTCCCAAGCTCCGTTTTTGCTGGCAGAGGGTTGCAGGAGGCCATCACAGCCAAAAACAGAACTCAGGAGCCTGCTTTTTCTGCCAGAGTGCTCAGGCCACCACAGGCACCCCTGACACAAGTGACATCATGCTAGGCATGGCCACAATCCTGATGCGGCTCTCAATGAAATCAAGTTATACACCTCTGTTGCAGATTCTTAGGAAATCCTAATCAAAGAGCAGGTGACAGCAGGGGTGGGTTCTTAGTCACTGCCACTCACACTTTGATCACCTCCTGTCTGGACTATTACAAGGCACTCTACATGAACTCTGACTATCCAGATCCTAGTTTTGAGCAATCTTTTACATGGTCAAAGATCCTAATATTTTCCCCCTATCAATCCACGTCAAGCCAAACAGCATTGCATCAGCAAGCTCTTGCAAACATGTTTTTCTCCAGATGTACCTGTGATCATGGAGTGACAGAGAAAGTTGGCAATGTCACCAAGGAGAAGCTTCTCCTTGTAATTAGCAAAACTATAGCAATTGCTCTTTCTCCTGCTCCTCACCAACCTACCAAAGTTTCCCCAAAAGAATCAGACTCAAGACCAACCCATGTGACAATTTACATCAGCCTGTAAAGCAAGGGAATAAATGTCTCCCCTCTTACTTGAGAGCCAGGAACAAGTTGTTCAAAGGTAGAATTGAGTTCTTCCCAAACCCTGAAATATGTGGAAACCATGGGTGGCTCCATCTCCTTTGAGAAAGACACCTAATGGCCTCGGTCTTCAAGGGGCTTTCAGTTGCCTCCAACTTTCCTTCTGACTGATTGAGAAGAGGGGTTGCAAGGCCATAGAAAGGATGAACCTGCAGCATCTGTTTCTGATGCTAATTCTGACCCACACTGCCTATGGGGTGCAGAGGGTGAAGTGTCCTTTGACATTGGAACAGTATGGAATGGAGCTATTGAATCACTACAGGCCAGGAGATTATCTCATTGGGGGCCTACTCTCTCTAAGAAAAATTCAGTTCCGACTGTACAATTTTGACATCTCTCCCTCAAGCATACTTCATATGTAAGTTTCCCATAGTTGCTACTGATTTCAGCTGGTTCAACTATGAAGAATCATTGCCTCAATTCTCTGCCTGCCTTAGATAGCAGAATTCTCTGTTGACTTTAGGGAAAATACATTAGGAACATACATATTTCTATGAAAGCTATACAGGAATGAATGCAGCACGGAGGAAGAAGATGAATTAAATCCTGAGGAATTGTGAGATCATTCTGCTCTTATTCTGGTTAGGATCCTCCCTCTGTGAATCCATCAGAGTTGCCCATGTTAGACTAAGGGGAAAAACATGTTTTGAGAAATGTTTCAAAGAGCAATAGTTAGTTTGGCAATGAGAAGGAACTGCTGGGTCTCCATGGTTCATTAAAGGGATGGAACTGATTTTTGCTCTAACAGAGCAAAAGATAGAAGTGTAAAAGGTAGAAGTGGATCCAACCGGAATAAATATAAAGTAACAGATTTCTGCAAAACATTCAGAAATCCTTCATCATGATAGTTGCTCAGATAAGCCTAACAGATGGATATTGCCACCATTTCTTTCCACCGGTGAGCCTGTCTTGGATGAATACAAGCTGGTGTTTGATATGATTAGGAACATTGTGACACTGTCTTCCCAGGCCTTTAGCAGCCTGAAGTGAGGTGCCATTTAGTTTCAGACAACCTCTTTCCTACCATTTGATGTTGAAGAGCCGAGGTGGCACAGTGGTTAAATGCAGCACTGCAGGCTACTGCTAGATCAGCAGTTCAGCGGTTCAAATCTCACCGGCTCAGGGTTGACTCAGCCTTCCATCCTTCCGAGGTGGGTAAAATGAGGGCCCAGATTGTTGGGGGCAATATGCTGACTCTCTGTAAACCGCTTAGAGAGGGCTGAAAGCCCTATGAAGCGGTATATAAGTCTACTGCTATTGCTAACATACTTGTTATTTTCCCAGACTCCCCATAATCTCCTAAATGGATTAGGGGCTGGGAAACTCAGGACCAAGTCTATCCATCACCCTGGAAGCTCAGTGGGTGACTTTGGGGCAATCACTGATTCTTACTCAAACTATTTAGCAAGTTGTTGTTAGGAGATACTGCTACATGTGCCATTCTGGGTTTCTGGGGTCAAGGTAGTATTGTAGTTAAGGTGTTGGATTGGCAAGAGGGATGGAAGACCAAGGTTCTACCCTCATTTGTGGACTGAATTACTTTGAGCCAGTCCTTGTCTCTTAGCCCAATCTAGCTGATGGGTTTATTTTGCAGAAGAACTGCCAATATACAGGTGAACTTCCTATCCTTCTTATTTGCCCTGCGAGGTGTCAACCAGGATCCCCAGATCTTATCCAATGTCACCCTAGGCTACAGTCTTCATGAGAATTATTTTGACACAAAAATAACTACGGATGCTTTGTTCAACCTTCTCTCAGCTGGACAAGCAAACATCCCAAACTACAAATGTGAAAGAAGTCAGAATCATCTTCTGGCTATCCTTGAAGGAACTGACTCTGAGATCTCCATCCAGGTTTCAGCCATGTTGAGCATCTACAAAATCCCACAGGTATTTTGGGGGGGGGGGGATTTACAAACTAATTTAGGTACTCATTAGGCATCTCTTTATACTCCTGCATCACAAAGTATTCAGGACTCTCCTCCAAACTCCTTCTAGCTGATCAATTTCCTACTGGAAAGATCATGTCCAGAATCTTACACAATACTCCAGACTCATCGAGACCTAGCTTTACATGTTCCAAGAATGGGCCACCGATATACCTTCCCTCCAGCACCCTTGAGGTAAGACTTTGAGTCTTCCTAGGGAAAAAAACTAATAAATAGCCACACTGAAGTGGATGGGCAAAGAAAAATGAGATTGCATAAAGATTTTCCATTACAAGGGCAAAATAAGATTCTGCAATGTTTTTAACATATTTATTTTTCTTTTATCACCAAAGAGAAAATGCAAAAAAGAAAAAGGGAGGAAAACAGATTAACAAACATCCAACATTAACAATGAAAAAAGGGATCTTATGTACAAAAGAAAAAGTAACATTAGACAAAAAAAATCCATCATGGCTGAATGCTGAAAGATACATCAAAAATTAATATGTATTCCTCTCCTTATCTAACAGGTCTACAGATAATTATAAACTTTCCCATCTCTATTTAACCAAAATTCTATATTAGATAAACGAATATCCCAGATGTGGAAATCTATTTGTCTAATAATTGAATTGACTCAACATGACTATATACAGTATGTTAAAAAAAAAAGCCAGTGAACAGATTACTGCAAAGGTAAAATTAATCCCTCTGTTAAGCCATCTGCACCATTTAACATGTAGAAATCCACAAATGGCTTCCAGTCTATTATACAATTGTCTAATCCATTGTGTTTCAAAATTTTCTAATGCCTTGATCTGCAGTACAGGGGAGATGGATGACATAAAAATTTAATTCATTCATTCATTAATATGCAATCCTCCATCCATGGCAGGAATCTTCATGCTATTCTAAACAAATGGTTTATTTGAAAATGTCCAGTGATAGGCCCCCATGGCTGCAAGAGACAGGCTGTTCCTCTCATACGGTCCTCCTTATTTCAAGTCTGAATCTCCTTCTGCAAAGATTCCATCTCTTGCTTTTTGTCTTCTTCCCTGTGATACCCCATCAAACATTGGAAAACTGTTATCATGTCTCCCCTTAGCTTTCTCCTCAGGCTTTCTCCTTGATCAGTTCTTTTAGCCATTTTAATAGGATCCTGACAGTCGGAAAACATGAAGAAAATTCTTTAACTTCACAATATATGGACAGATTTAACCAGAGTTTCAATTGGGAAAAATCTGACCATCCTAGACCAGGCCAAGTCCAAAAATGCCAGGGAATTTCTAGAAGCCTGGCACTCTGACATATCAGCCATTGATAGGCACATAGACATTAACAACATCAACCAACCCAAAGGAGAAAAAGACTCCAACACCTCTCCACCAGTAATCAGCACTCAGATCAGCATAGATTAACCCAGTGATGGGTTCTGGATTCCGTCCCAACTAGTATGGTTGGAACAGCCCTGGCGTCACCTGCATGCAAGGGCATGGACAACACATGTGTTGTAGCATCAAATGACGCTTCTGCAAGCCTCCACGAAGCTCCAGCTGCTCCAGTTTTATGATTTTTTTCACCTACACCAGTTGGAAGGGGATGTGGAGCATCATCCAGATGAGGAGGACACTCCCAAGCAAGGGAAGAAGCATTCCCCACAAAAGGAAAGAAACTCTCTCCTTACACTCATGGTCTACCTAGGAATGGAAGAATCTTTCCTCATTCATAAAGATCATTATTTTTCCCCATAAAAATCTGAGTCACCCATATGTCAAAAATGTGAATCAACTTTCTCTTTCTTTGTCAGGTGACTTATGCTTTTGTTTCTCAAGTTCTGAGCGATAAAAACCAGTTCCCCTTTTTCTACCGGACAGTTCCTGAAGAAGGAACACACTATTGGGGTATTGTCAAATTGCTCCAGCATTTCAAGTGGACATTAACTGGACTAATCGCTGCTGACACAGAGAATGGAGACCGATTCATAAAGTCCTTCTCAGCTCAACTGGTCAGAGTTGGGGTTTGTGTGATTTTCTCAAAAAGATTCTCGAGACTGAATAAGTACAGTGTGGTCCAGAACCATCCCATTCTATTTCACAAGTGGAGGCAAGTCAACGTATTGATTCATTACACGGAAACTTATGACTTCTATGATGGATTGCTGATTATTCAACAGTTGACGGTTGGCTTGATAGAGCCCATAGCTGGTAAAGTATGGATCACAACAGCTTTGTGGGATTTGACCCGTGAGTTGACTTTTTTTGAATTTCCACTTTTCCAACACATCCATGGTATTTTTTCCTTCATGATCCAGACAAAGCAAAGGATAAGATACGACTTATCCTTTTATCATTCTTGTGAAAGGTTTGCAGATTACGCATTCCATTGTTCCTACACAAAGCACCCTCTGTCTGTGAAAGCTTACAAAAAATGCACGGAGAAAGAAGTGGCAAATCTCCCTCAAGAAGAGATAGAAAATATCTACTCCCTGGATAGCAACCGCATTTACAATGCCATCTGGACTGTGACACGGGCGTTCAATGCAGCCTATTCCTCTCTTTCCAAGAGGATAATCAAGGACAATGGAGACGGGGAGGAAGTTCAAAGGATGCAACCATGGCAGGTATTTCCCTTCTCAGCACAGAGACTTCCACTGAATAAAGACTCTAATTGTTCTGACCCAGGCTTCCTTAGAAAGCAAGAAACTAAGTTTGGTCCCTGCAAAACCTCTTTTATTTACATGACAGTGGATTCCTTTCATTCACAGCCAGCAAGGCTTAGCAAACAGTCTTTCAGAGGAATGTTTATCCACATGCACCTTATCTCATTTGGAGTGCTGCCAGATACCTAGTTTTCAAACTCAGGCAAAGGCAAACTTGGCACAGAGTCTCTTAAAGTCACAAACAGAATTTTCCACTCTTGAACTGACCAAATGAACAAATTGGAAGGGGCCAATCACCCCCAAGGTGTGGCTTTACTCCTAAGTCCACCATTCTTTCTTAATTGTCCTTGTTTTCCTGCAGTTCAGCACATGCGCACACTGGGAACAGGCTCCAGCTGTTCTTCTGCCTCACTGCTAACTCCCTTTTTGCCTCTGACACAGAGCCCTCGTCTGAGCTTTCCTCAACCCCCAGGTCTGGCCCATGTTCCTCCCCAACCTCTTCACTGTCTGACTCTGCTGCCAGGTCCACTGGCTGTTGGAGAGCCATAACACTAATAGCCAGTTCTATAACTGTGATCTCAAGAATCTAATCAACTATAACCTTCAGGTCCATACTAATCACTGAGCTGAATAAGGACATGCTTCCCAGCCCACCTCAAATTGGACTGAAAGAAAAAAGAAAGTCATTAAGGTGAGAAAAATAGAAGGCACAACATTTAGGAAGAAAAATAAATCAAGCATACATACAAGAGGAGAATTCTTGGCTTGGAAACACCATATCTGAGAAAAGCTTGGATGTCCCCATTTACAACAAGCCCAAACATGAGTCAGCAGTATAACAGAGCTGCTTAAAAGGGCTAGAACAGTTCTGACCTGCCTGAGAAAAAACATTATATCAAAGAGAATTCATCTCCTTCCTTTCAGCACTAGTGAGTCATGCTTGATGTATTATGCACAATCATGGGCACCATATTTCTAGAGGATTTTGATGGGATAGTGAGGATATGGTGTTGACCACTATTTTAGAGGCTTTAAGGTGTGTACATTCATAAGGAAAACATATATCAAGGGTTCACTATCTTGAAGAGCTGAGGTCAACTCTCAGTTGGAGGCACCATATCTCCAAATGCAAATCCATGGGAACAGAAAAGTTTTCTATCTTCTACTCAGCTTGCTTATTTGTTGAATTATTGGTTTTAACTTAAACTGTGGCCACATTGAAGCAGAACACACTCCTTCAACCAGTAATTGCACCAGAGCTTCAGTGAATTAATATGTGATCTGTTCCACCGATTAATTGTTTGTAGCTATTAGAATATTTCTCCTTAATTCCAGGTTAGTTCTCTCCTTGATTAGTTTCCATCCATTGTTTATTGTCCTGTCCTCTAGTGCTTTGAAGAATTATTTGATGCCCTCTTCTTTGTGGCAGCCCCTAAAGTACCTGAACACTGCTATCATGTTACCCCTAGTCCTTCTTTTCTCTAGACTGGCCAAACCCAAACCCTGCAACTGTTCTTCATATGATCTTTCACTTGTGGTGGGGAAAAGAGACAGATGGAGCCCCTTGGTTGTTGCAGGAGATCTGAACCATCCAAGATTCAAAAGGGGTATTTGCAGAAATAAAATGTCAAGGGTTTTTTTGTTATTTATTCCAACCTTCTTTTTGCTTTGCTTTGCCAGCTTCACCCTTTCTTGCAAAACTCCCAATTCTACAACAGCTCTATGAGTGAAGTGTATTTGGAGAAGAATGGAGAACTGGTAGCTGATTTCAACATTGTGAACTGGGTGAGGTTTCCAAATAGGTCTGTTGTTCGAGTGAAATTTGGGAGTCTACGAAGACACAAATCCTCAGGACTCAAGTTCACTATCAATGAGGATGACATTGTGTGGCCAAATTGGCTTAACCAGGTGAGGGGAAATTATTTCAGATCATTTCAATGCATTGATTGTACCTGAAGGGCACAAAATTTTATAGTTCAATTTCTGTTGATCAGTTTTAGCTTTGCTAGTTTATTGTGGGAGGAACCAATCCCGAGCAACGTTCAGATAAGTGAGAAAGGGTGAATTATATGGAGGAGGTAAGAGGTTCTCAACCTGTGTCTGTGGACTCCTAGGGGCTGTGATGTCATCACGGGGGGTCCACAAATGTTTGATAAAGCAATCTAGCACTTTAAATCTTGAGTTACGTCTTGGTGGTCCATGGACATGGTCCCTGGCCATAAAAAGGTATTTAAAAGGGGTCTGTGGTGAAAAAAAGTTTGAAAACCATTAGCATAGATGTTGCCTAACTGAACAGAAAAAGTGGGAGAAAAAGCTTTTAGATTTAAATCCTAGAGTTGAGACAAATCTCTATGAGATAGAGAGAAAATCAGAAAGAAATGATTAAATAGAAATTAGATGATAGGGGAGGGGCTTAACATCATTGTGAAATGATGGACTTTTCCAGGGCTCTGGGATCACCGTCAAATTCAAGTTGCCTGGACGGTCCAATTGGACCTAAACCGTCCCGTAGAGACGGTGATAGGTAGGGGTATATCCTGCTGATCCCAGAGACACCCGCAAAGTTTGTGGTGATCCGGGAAAAAGCCCCTCTTCCCAGTGACTTTGAGTCAGCCATTAGGCTGCTGAAATGGCAGTCAGCTCTGTAACGCAAGGGCAGGAGAGAAGCATGTCATTTTGGTGAGAGTTTTAATTTTCTTTTTCTATTGGAGATAGAACACCCTAAAATTGGAGATTTTATTTAAAAATAAAGACTGATGAGAGAACAAGCAGCTTAATGCATAGATAATTGAAGGTTTCCTTTTTTCCCTCTTTACTGCCGGAAGCCGGATTGTACTTTCATTGCAACTTACTTTTTAAAATGGACTGATACTTTACGTTTTTCTTTTTTCTTTAGTGGGCGTTTTGGAAACATTGATATAATTAAGTTTGAACTGTTTAAAAATTTCCCTCTTTTTACCTTTGCTTAATGAATTATTGTATTTTTCTTTTCTCAGCTTTCCTTTTTTTAGTTGTTTTTTTTTAATAAAAGGTGGAGTGTAAGAGAAAGACTGAGAGTGGGTAACAAGTATCACTGCCACCAAGTGGATTTGAAACAATGTTTTTATTTTTATATGAATGTTTGGAGAGAAGCTGTTTCCTTGTTCAAGGTTGTCTAGTTAAGACTTGATAGTGAGAGGAACACAATTGTTTATACAGGTGTCCCTTGTGAAACTTTCAATGTCTAGAAACCTACCTTGAAAGAATTTTTTTTTTAAGGGAAAGCCCAGAGTGACCTTGGAAAGGCTTTCACACTACAAAAGCTTTGAACTCCTTTTTTTGGTGGCAGTATTTACCTTACTCTGTTATGGAAGCTGTGACTCCTTTCTGTCTCCCTCTTCATTTTTGAATTTTTGATATATTTTTTGAAGCATTTTGCGAGCTTGTTTTAAGTGGATTGGACCAAAGCAACACTTAAATATTTTTTTCCTCTTTCTATCTACAATTTTTGCATTTTCATATTTCTAATTTTTTTATTTGGGAATTGTTCCCTTATTCTAATTTTTTTTCCTTGTTCCCCTTTTTTAGTTTCTTACTTTTTCTTTTTTCCTATTTTTAATTGGAACCAATCGGATAAGGGTATACAAGAGACCAAAGATTTTTACTCTTTTGGTTTTTTATATTATTTTATATTTTTCTCTTTCCTGTGTGGTTCTTCTGTTGCCCCCTAATCCCTTTTTGGTGTTCTATTTTTTATTTTTTGATGTCCCCATGGATACGTGGGACCACAATTTCAGCTTACACTACATGGATTAAAACACACAAAAGAAAAAAATTGGAAGATGAGTAAAGATGGCCCTGCCTCTGCCCATTTTTGGTCCTTTTTTGGCCTCTTTTGCACGCTGTTTTTCGGCCTGAAAAATGGCCCAAAAAAGCCCCCAAAACCAGCCAAAAAATGGGCAGGATCAGCCTGTGATGGGATTAGCCTGAACCAGTCAAATCCCAGCTCTGTTGTGAACTGTCAGCTTCAAGTATCAAAATACTTTGTTTTGCCTTTGGCCCAATGCACCTCTAATTAGACGGTGACAGGTTTCACCTAAGGTTGTTTAAAATACAAAAAAAGAAAGCAAGAAGGTGAGTGGCTGGGAGGCAGGGATGAGTGACATTGGGTTGGCCACACCCACCCAGTCACATGGCGACCCGGTCATGCTTACCCCCAAGCCTGAGAACTGGTTGTTAAATAATTTAAATCCCGCAGGCAGGCAGGTAGGCAGGCAGGCAAGCAGGCAGATGAGAAAGCAAGATAAACAGAAATGACAGACAGAAAGATGAGAGAGACAGAGACAGAGAGAGGGGGGAATTTCTAGCTGTGCCAGGTTTAAACTTGATCCCAGAATATTTATGGTTCATGGTCCACTTCATCAGATGCATGCAGTATGTTCACAAGAGAGATGGACTTCTACCTGAGGCTCTACATTAATTGCAAACCAAAAATCCAATGCTCAGTAGGATGAATTTTCTATCTTAATTATGATAAAGGGAATAAAACAAAAAATAGGAAGGAAGTAACGGAGGAGTGGAAACAAAGAAGCAAACTTTATTGTCTTCGTTGAATAGATCTGGATTTTATGGTCAGCTTGGCAAAGCTCCAATGGTTGGCCAAACCATCACTATGTGTCATTTCCTTAGCTAAATCTGTCCCAAGATTTTTAAAAAACAAATGAACGTTTATTCTTTTAGAGTCTGCCACCTTCTCGGTGTGTGGATAGCTGCCGTGCAGGATTTGTTAAGGTAATTAGGGAAGGTGAACCAATTTGTTGCTACGACTGTGTTTCCTGTATGGAAGGGACCATCTCTTCTCAAGAAGGTGGGTAGTTTGATTTGATTTTAAAATTTACCAAAAAGGTTTTTGTTTTCCTAAACTTGAATACTCTCTTGTTTGGCTTCTTAATTCACAAATTGAATTGCTGTCAGCCATTGGGAGCTCATGAGGTCATCAGACGGAGACAGGAAGGTCTTCTTTCAGAGGTGCTCTAGTGCAGCAGGCCCAACCCTTTTGGGTCTGTGGCCTGGCAATGGGGGGGGGGGGTTGGTAGGGAATAGTTGCATGCATGCAACATATTGTGCATGTGCAAATAAACCTTTGTACACTTGCCCAGTGCTTGAGCAGACTGGTTCCAACAGGCCACAGACCAGCAGCAGGCTGTGGATAAGGGGTTAGGGACCCCTGCTCTAGTGAATTTTGCAATAAATATAGTATTAGGTGGTTTCAAAGGTACATTCCAATTCTTATGATTTGTAGGGAGTCATGGAGTTGACCTTGGAGAAGGCATCTGAAAGCTCTTAGGCCATCAACAAGTGAATAAGCAGCATTTGTTGAGCAAGACTGCAGAAAAGTATTAGGAATAGGATGCCTTCCACCCCATAAACTCCATTATATACTGTATACTGTAAATCTTTGTATCTACAGTATTTGAATCAATGTTCATTTCTAGCCTTTTCTGAAGTCCATTTACTGCAGGCCATTCTTAGATGTTCTGGCTCTTTCATTTCAAAAGGTATCTTTTATTTATTTAGTGTAGGGCATTGTTACATTAGCTAGGAGACTCTCATGCCAATGCAGAGTAGTATTTTGGTTGCCTAAGACTGATAGCGCTGTTTAGCTTGTGGACTTTCCAAAGTATGACTGGGGGGGCTCTGCACCACCAAGAAAGATGAGTGTGGCTTTCCTGCAATGTCATTAGGGCCCTCTCCTTCTACTGAAGCTACCTTGTGAATGTGTGTCTCAATCAGGAAGGTCCAGTGCCAGCAGGACTCTAACCCACTGCACAAAGTAGCAGCTCATCTCCCCACCCAAGTGGTACCTATTTATCCACTTGAAAATAACATGCTTGTGAACTGCTGGGTGGGCAGAAGTTGAGGCGAGTGACAGGAGTTCACCCCACCCCACAGTCCTAGGACTCAAACTGCTGGAGCAAAGACCATCTCCAGTGTCATTAAGTCTGACTTTAGCTGACAGACCTAAAAGGCATCCCTCAGATGATATAAAAGAATTGGAAACAGGATTAAATAAAAGAAAGGTTGCTTTGATTCTTTGCAGATGCTGAGCGTTGTACTAGATGTCCAGAAGACCAATATCCAAACAAAAATCAGGATGAGTGCATTCCAAAGATTATAACCTTCCTGTCCTATAATGAACCTTTGGGAATCCTCCTGGCTTCCTTTGCCCTTTTGCTCTCCTTCACCACACTCTTTGTCTTAGGAATCTTCACCAAATTCTTGGAAACTCCCATAGTCAGGGCCAATAACCGGGATCTCTCCTACATCCTCCTCATTTCCCTCCTGGGTTCCTTCTTGACCTCCTTCCTCTTCATTGGCCATCCAAAGAGAGCCACCTGCCTTCTCCGACAGACAACGTTCAGCATCATCTTCTCAGTGGCTGTTTCATCTCTCTTGGCCAAAACAGTCACAGTGGTCTTGGCCTTCTTGGCCACAAAACCAGGGAATGGAGTGAGGAGATGGTTGGGGAAGACTTTAACCTACTCCATTGTCTTTGCCTGTTCTGGCGTCCAAGTGATCATCTGTATTCTTTGGTTGGGAATTTCTCATCCATTCCCTGATTCTGACATGAACTCCCAGCCTAGAGAGATTATTCTGCAATGCAATGATGGAAAGATTGCCATGTTTTACACTGCCTTAGGATACATGGGCTTTCTGTCTGCCATCTGCTTCACAGTGGCTTTCCTGGCCAGGAATCTACCTGGGGCCTTCAATGAAGCCAAGCTAATCACCTTCAGCATGCTGATCTTCTGCAGTGTTTGGGTGTCCTTTGTGCCTGCATATTTGAGTACCAAAGGGAAGTACTTGGTAGCTGTGCAGGTCTTCTCCATCTTGGTTTCTAGTGCTGGCCTGCTGGGATGCATCTTCATCCCTAAGTGTTACATTATTGTCCTGAGGCCTGATCTCAATATGAAGGAGAAACTAACAATGAAAAATAAAATAGAAACATAACTGACAACATTATTTCTTCGGAGTCCAATTTTCACACAAGATTTTCAATCATAAATGATCATTCCTTAATGGAAAGTTCTATGTCTCTGCCCAGTTTTATGCAAAACACCTGACATGTTCATACAGAACATAAATTTGTCTTTATATGATCCCTCTCATGGTGGATCTTATTTCCTTGGCAGCCTCACAAAATATTATATTCACCTGTCAAATAAAAGCAATTAACTGATAATAAGATTTATACATTCTGTCTTTGTTCACGATGTAATTAGACTGCTATTTGATGTAAAAAAAGAGAAATGTGATTTTTATGAAGCTGTTTTTCAAAATGATATTTATTAAGTCCAGCTGCCAATGTTTGGCTATTTAATATTATTCCAAAAATGAAACAAAATGTAACTTTCTATTTCTTTTCCATGCCATGATATAAATGAACTATCATTTGTTATTACATATGACTTTTCCTCTTCTCTTTACTGTTGAGTCCATTGAATTTGCGGGGGGGGGGTTGGGAGGTGTTTGCCAAGAGGGTCGATTCAAACATTCATTTTTTTAAGAGAACAGCCTACCTGCATTGGCAACGTAGAATGAGCAAGATTTCTCAGGCCTTTTGCTGGGCTTGGGGAAAGCTAAAAGAAATGAGACATAATAAAACCAATTGGAAATGTTTTGGCTGTTCTCCATTTTTCTTTACATATATAGGAAAAGCAGTGGCTCTCGTCAGCTGAGGATTGTCCCCAGCTAACTGTATACTGAAAGCCACATTGCTCACAAGTCAAGACCAACTAAACCTATATTGATGTATGACCATCCACATCCATCTTTAAAACCTCTCTTGATACTGGACAGTATAGAGCATGGGTGTCAAACTTGCTATGTCAAGTTACTGTCATGTGACATTTCACAATGTTTTTCTCAGTGGTGGGATTCAATTTTTTTTACTACTGGTTCTTTGTGCATGGCTTGGTGGGCATGGCCGGGGAGGAATACTGTAAAATCTCCCTTCCCTCCCCACTCCAGGGGAAAGTTACTGCAAAATCCCCATTTCCTTCCAATCAGCTGGAACTCAGAAGGTAGAGAATAGATGGGGGGTGGGGCCAGTCAGAGGTGGTATTTACCAGTTCTCCAAACTACTCAAAATTTTCGCTACCGGTTCTCCAGGACTGATCAGAACCTGCTGAATATCCATTTTTCCCTTTCACAGAGTGGGGTGGGCATGGCCTGTGCATGACGCATCGAGCCTGTGGACCGCCAATTCAAAACCCCTACTATTGAAGCATTTTAGAAGAGATATTTGTGCTTCTCTTCTTCTCTTAACTCGCTCATTGTTCCATTTTCAAAGCCATATCTATGAATTCTCCCTTTGTGCACCTACCTATAGAGCAGGGGTGAAATCAACACCTTTGCTACGAGTTCGCAAATGTGTGTCCTACGCATGCTCAGGATCTTCTGTGCATGCACAGAGCATCAAAAACAGGATGTGATGACGTCCAGGTGGAGCCTGCTACCAAGCGTGCCTGCAAAGTTAAGTAGAACAGCGAGGGTGGGGAATCCACCGAGCCATGCGATGTAGATTAGCTAGAAAGCAGGAAATCTAACAATTGTAGCTAATATAAATCGTGTGTCACAGCTCATTGTCAGTAATACCGGTTCACCCAAACTGGTAGCATTTTTTTACTACTGGTTTTGGCAAACTGGCAGCATTTTTTACTACCAGTTCAGGCAAACCAGTCCAAACCGGTAGCATTTCTCCCCTGCTGTAGAGTCATTCAGAGTTCAAACAGACAATGGTTCTCTTCCCTGCAATTATCAAAATCACAGTAATTTATTTCTTGTCTTATAATCCCAAGAGACATTTCTGCAAACTTTCAGAAAATGTAATACAAGGATATTTTTCGATATCAGTGTCAGACTCCAAAGCAAAGTTGGAAGGTGTCTACATTAGGAATGATGTATGTATAAATACTTCTGAAGAGAAAGAGTGAGCCTAGGAAGGATGTTAGGATGGGCAGAGGCTGTGTGTATTTTTGTCCCCTTCAGAAGTAAAGAGTTGGGTGGATTCTGTTTGGATTTTAAAAGAAACCTCTGTTGCTCCTGTCTTGGAAATAGGCTTGGTTTCTTCTACCTTTCTTCTCATTCCTTGAAAGAAGCCATTGCGACGCAGGAGGTTGGATCAGGCTACCAAGACAGGCTGTTGCTGTTTCTACTTCTGCTGCTGTTGTGCCCACCAACAGTCTATGGGAAGCGGAAAGCCAAATGCTTCCTGACTTTGGGTCAAGACGAAACAGACCCACAAAACCATGTCAGGCCAGGAGAGCTTTTCACCACTGGCATAGTCTCTGCAACCAAGGCTCGGTTTCTACCATTAACCTTCAACACAGTTCCTTTGACTCGGATTTCCCTGTAAGTCCATTTTTCTGCACTGAACTACAGCAGTTCCATTTCTGATAGTGTCCTAGAATTCCTGCCTTTATTTCTGGAGAGAGAGAAGTTCCCTGAGGAGGGGCTTCCAGCACAAGTCTGAAAGCTTGGAAGATTAAACCTCTAGTCCTGGTGACCGACTCAGATTGGATCCTGCAATTCCAGCATTAAATTGCCAGACATATATTTCTTGACCTGCTACTTTACTGCCTTAATTTATCTTTCAGGATCCATGATACACACTACAATTAATGGGGCTCCTTTGCAACAGTCAAGTGCAGTGGCCAGGTAGAGATCAAATGTGCAAATTAAACAATTAGTTTGTTTTAGCTAATTAAGTAGAGCTAGACTATACATAAAAAGACATAGCTTGACCCTTGTCTTTTACCTGGTCCCTAGACAAAATGCAAAGGTTTCCTCAAGTTGAATTTTGACTAGCGAAGATAACATGGAGAAAAGAATAAAAAAATTACACATTTTTCCCTAGATTAGAGAAGGCCACAATATTTTTTCGATAACACAATTATCTGATAGTCTGAAGGTCCACAAAATAGGACAATTGGTTCATCGGTTCATCGGTCATTCATTCAGTGATTCATTCATTGATTCATTCATTGATCTTGCAGAGATGTATTCCGAACCTTTGAGAGACATTTTTGTGTCTCATATCCTCAAAAATGAGGATCTGGTGGGAAAAACCAGCAGGAATAGATCAAAGCAGGTTATGAAATTCATTTTTTTAAAAAAGCTAATTATATCACTTATTATCAACATTTCTGATAATATAATTTGAATAATATGCAAAACTTTGGGTGTAATGTTTTAATTTGAGAATGGTATGATGTACTTTGAGTCAGTTCGAAGACAGAATTTGTTCTGGGCAATAATTTTCAAATACTATTTCTTCATTGTCCATGTTTGACAGTTTGACAAAAATGTTTTCTCTGTGTGTGTGAAAAAGGGATACGACTGGGTAGAAATTGTAATTTAATTTTATTTTTTAAAATATCCTTGAGTTGCTGAATAATATGACATATCTCACAGTATCCCCCACATTTTTTAGGAGAATGAAAACAGGCTATTCAAATAAGTGATAAAATTGTAAAGCAGAAGAAAAAGAAAATTACCGCTTATAGTATTTTTCTTTTCCTGTATTTTAATATTTTACTATTTTATAGAACTATAGTACAAATACTACTTTAATATTTTTAGGAAACTACAGAGACCTAGAAAAATAATTTAATAGAATGGTTGTTGTAATTCAGGCATGCAAACTTTTGTTCTTGACTCAATTAGAAATATAGTAGTGAATAATTTTAAACAAAGCACTGCTTTCACTAGTTTTATGATATATTTAAACTTTCAGGAGCACATCCACAAAATACTGGAAAATTCTTTCCTACCTTTTTGCTGTTCAGGAGATCAACCAGGATCCTCATCTCCTGCCTAATTTGACATTGGGTTACAATATCTATGAAGGTTATTTCAACACACGAATGACTGCAGATGGTTTGCTTGACCTGCTTTCAGCCGGGGAGTCCAATGTTCCCAATTACAGCTGTGGACGTGAGAAAACCCCATTGGTGGTTCTTGAAGGGGCAGAAACTGACATCGCCATCCAGATCTCAACCTTTCTGAATGCCTACAAAATCCCTCAGGTCTGTCTTTGCTGATGATGACTGTCAGTCATGCAATTTTCAATCAGAGCTAAATTGAGAACAGAGTTTGATAATTGAAAATGATAAGGAAAGTTTTGAAGGCTTCCAGTGATGGAGCATCCACAACTTCTGAAGGCCAGCAATGCTTTTTCTCCCCTCGTGTCTCCTGTATGGGCCCAAAGAAATACATTTAAATGAACAGAAATTACCACTTGGTACAGATTTAATAAAACCCGGTCGAATGAAATATGTGTTACAATGTAATTCCTTCAAAAGGCACCTAGGAGATTGGGCTCCAATGTATAGCACCTGCAACTATAGAGAGGGCTGATTTCTCAAGATCCCACATAATATTAATCAGAAGAATGACTTGCCTCCAGATGTTGTGAATGCTACAATGCTGGAGGTTCTTAAGGAGAGATTGGACATCTTTTTGTCTGAAATAATATATGGTTTTCTGCCTAAGCAGGGGTTTAGATTAGAATACTTCCAAGATCCCTTCCACTTCCGTTATTCTGTTATTGCTTTTTATATCATTGTTAATTTTAACTGCATTTTCTATATTTTCATCTCTTGTATTAATGTTTGGACACTTTTGTGAAATTTTAGGACCAGTGGTCCAAAAAAGAAATTGATTGATTGATTGATTGATTGATTGGCTCTAGTGGTTCTTTGTGATAGGAAAGTGCTGGATTCAAAGAGCAGTAAGAAGAGGAGCAATGTATAAGCCAAAGCATCAGAAAAGTCCCCCACCCAAGGGTCTTCACGGCAAGAGGTGGTCTTCCTATGGATAAGCATCTTCATATTTGATCTTTATGAATATCAAATGATAGTCTACTTGTTTTCTCTCCTTTTCAGATCAGTTATACATTTGCATCACACATTCTGAGTGACAAGACTCGGTTTCCTTTTTTCTATCCAATGGTCCCCATTGAAGGAGTCCAGTATCCAGTAATTATCAAACTTCTCCTCCATTTCAAGTGGACGCTGGTTGGTTTGGTTGCTCCAGACACTAGCAATGGCCAGAGGTTCATAAATATGTTGATTTCTATGCTGACAGAGAAAGGCATTTGTGCAGTTATATCACAAAGGTTTACAGTGGTTGCCAGTGAATTAAAAATAAAGCTTCGTCAATACTACAAGTGGAAACAAGTCAATGTCTTTGTTTACCATGCAGAGACAAGTTATTTCCTAGAAGGCATAGCAGTTATAGAAAAAGTGCTGACTGCCTTTAAAAAGCCCATTGTAGGAAAAATTTGGATCACAACAGCCCGCTGGGACCTCACTTTAGGTTTGAAGGTTTCCATCTCTTCTTTGCCCAACGTCCATGCCATTTTTTCCTTTCTCATGAAAACAAAGAAAGTGGCAAACTATGATGGATTTAAGCTCTTGTATTCTTTCATGGATCAGTTTCTAGAGGAAGCTTTCCAATGTTCCTATGGAAAGGCTGCATCATCTGTGAAAGTCTGGAGACGATGCAGAGAGAGAGAAGACCTGGAGCCTCTGCCCAGAGAGAAGATAGAACAGATCCTGGCTCTAGACAGCTATTTCATTTATAACACGATCTGGGCTGTGGCACGGGCTTTGAATTTGGCCAATTTATCCCAATCTAGGAGAGGCATGAGAAAACCTGTCAAGTGGTTGGAGATTCAAAGCCTAAAGCCTTGGCAGGTATTTCCTCTCCATGATATACACCTCTCCTGTGCAATTATTTTGAAAAAACAAATAACTTACCGTATTTTTCAGATTATAAAACGCTCCGGACTATAAGACACACCTAACTTTTGGGATGGAAAACAAGGGGGGGGGGGATCTGCCTCTGCCTCCCAGCATCCATCTGGTATTCATCTGGCTTATTTGCTGCAGCCCATTCACTGCATCCCATTTGCCGCGACCCATTCGGTGCAGCCCTTGTTCGCCATGGCCCATTCGCCACAGCCTGTTTGCCACCGCCACCACATGTTTGCCGTCGCCTGTTTTCCATGGTGGCAAACCAGCGCCATATCAACACCCCCCCCACACACACTTTTGTGGGTAGGAAAAGTGCATCTTATACTCCAAAAAATAGAGTATTCTAAAGAAAAAATAAATCTATAATGAAAATATGGTATCTTTCCTACCAGGCCATCTTTGTTCTTCCTTTCATAGAACAACATCTGCTTCTTGAGAACACACTGTATCTCCTTTTTTACTTTTTCTCTTTGTATACTGTCGCAGGGCTGTGCCCTATCCACTTAAAAGCTCCCCCCACTGATACAGGGCACACGTCTGCTAGGGAGTAGAAGCTCTCTGGCTCCACCACCTCTGGCTGCAGTCATGTCTCTTAATCTAAATCTGATTAGAAACAACCTATGAGGAAGGATCTGAACAAGCATCAGCCCCAGACCAGTCAGGCTGGATCTTTCTTGGAAAGGAGACTCTCAGGGGTGAAGGAGAGACTGCCAGAATAACAGAATTGAAAGGGACTTTGGAGGTCTTCCAGTCTAATCCCTTACTCAAGGAGGAAACCCCATACTTGGGGTCCCCAACCCCTGAGCCACAGCCAGTACCAGACTGTGGCCCATTTGGAACTGGGCCATGGAAATGGCAGGCAAGCATGCAAACACCTGTGAGAATTTGAAAGATTATTCAGTTCAGTGAAGTTCAGAATGTGGCAAAAAAAAAACTGCAGAGGATTTACCGAGATTTACACATTGTGCTTTCTGTTATAAATATTTTTTCCTCAGCTACATCAGTGTCTTATGCAAAAAAAAATCAGATCCACATAGGAAAATTCAATTAAACTGATGTATTCCTAAACAGCCTATGCACAAGAATCTTCAAGACTAATGGTTAGCATTTGCTTGGAGTTTGATAAGGGTTCGTGGAATTCAAGGGGAATTGGAGCTTGGAGCTACATAGGGATTCTAGTGTGATCTCTGTGGTAACTGTCACCCAAAGATCTGCCAGTCAATCTCCTACAAGCATCCAATTCATCAATATATGGAGCCATTGTATCTTCTCCCCAAACTTCTTTAATAAAAGCCAAACTATAATAGCCTAGAAAAGAAAGCTTATCAGTGCAAGTGATGTTCAACTTCCTTCAAAAAGCACAGGAAGTGCGAACTGAAGCAGTGAAGAGATGGCTATGGCATAGATAGAAGAAATGTTGACTTACTTTCTAAACCTTGTTTTCTCTTTTCCAACCCAGCTTCACTCCTTCCTCCAGAAGCCCCAGTTTTATAATAATTCCATGGAAGGTGTATACTTGGATGAGAAAGGCGATCTGGCGGCTAACTTAGACATCCTAAACTCTGTAGTTTCCGCCAATAAAACCATCACTAGAATGACATTGGGGCATCTAGGAAGGCATACATTTGCAATTAATCAAAATAGTATTGCACGGATGGAAATGCTGAGCAAAGTGAGTATTGCTTTCATTTCATACCTTCTAATGCCTTTAATAACGGAGTTGCTCTTGATTTGGGAGGGGGAGATTGAACTGCCGGTCAATTTTATCTCATTAGTTCTTGATGGTAAATAATATATTATTTGATACTGATATATTATTCACTGCGGTTGTTAAGTGAATCATGTGGTTGTTAAGCAAATACAGCTCCCCCCCCATTGAGTTTGCATGTCAGTAGACAACTTGGAAGGTCATAAATGGTATTCACAGGACCCAGGATGAGGCTAACCTCTTAAATACATGCCCAAATTTTGGGGATCCTGCAATATTTGTGTGTGAGGACCGGTGGCCAATCACTTTTTTTCAGTCCCATTGTAACATCAAACTATTGCTAAATAAATAGTTGTAAGTGAAGGACGACCTGTATTCCATCCAACCTACATTGAAATAATGTAACATTAATCAGAATCAATCAGAATAGAGCTGTAGGGGATCTTGGAGGTCTTCTAGCCTAGGGGTCCCCAACCTTTTGGACCTCAGGGATCACTAAATTCATAATTTTAAATCCCGCTGACCACTAATATGATCTGCCTAATGACCGGCTGGGTGGGTGTGGCCAACTCAATGTCACTCAATTCAATGGGCGCCTTGCCAGCTTCTACTTGCCCCTCCTCCTAGCTACGCCTTGCCCGCCTGCCCAGGCTCCTTAGGGCCCCAACATGAATCAGTTGTTGAAGCTAAGCAGCCACCCTAAGAAAGGGTTGGCAAAACAGCTGGCTCATTTCAAACTGGATCTGACCAAGAAGGAGGCTCAGCAGAAGCACTCCCTGAGGACTGCAAGCATAGACTTTCCAAGCAGAGGGAAGACCTGAGGGAATGCATGGTCAGGCATTGGCGCCTGGAGGCTCAGTGAGCTGAGATAGTCAGTCAGTTCTAGGCCATGATACAGTCCCACTGGAACAAGGCCCTCCGGCTCTTCACCACCAGTGGCACTTCCCTCCAGTCTTCACCCAAAACCCCACACAAGGAAGCTGAAGCAGACCCCAAGTCAGAATTTCTCCCCCTTCTGAACTACACAAAAAGGCTCCAGAGGGGGACAGTCTCTGCAGCAACACAAACGTTCATTGCACGTATCCATCCCAGGGGTCGTAGTTTAGTTTGGTGGTCCACAGACCACCAGTTGGTGACCACTGTTCTAGTCCAACCTGATGGTCAAGCAGGAGACCCTATATCATTTCAGACAAGAGGCTGTCAAGTCTCTTCCAAAAAAAGCCTCCAGTGATGAAGCACCCACAACTTCTGAAGACAAGCTGCTCAACAGGTTGATTGTCCTTACTATTAGGAAGTTTCTCCTTAGTTCCAGGTTGCTTTTCTCCTTGATTAGTTTCCATCTATTGTTTCCTGTCCTGCCTTTTGGTGCTTTGGAAAATAAATTGACCCTGCCTCTTTGTGACAATCTGTCAAATACTATAATACTGCTATTATTTCCCCCCTAATCCTTATTTTCTCTAGATTAACCTAATGTAGAATGTCAATGGAGATTCTCAAACATGGTTTTCTCAAAGGTCCTTTTTCACAGGTCAACTGGACTTTCGTGGATTTTTCCCCTTGAAAACATTTTGATTCTCATTGAAGAAGCTTCAGATTTGAAGCTTAGGAGCCTAGGAGCCAAGGTGGCGCAGTGGTTAAATGCAGCACTGCAGGCTACTGCTAGATCAGCAGGTCAGCTGTTCAAATCTCACCGGCTCAGGGTTGACTCAGCCTTCCATCCTTCCGAGGTGGGTAAAATGAGGACCCAGATTGTTGGGGGCAATATGCTGACTCTCTGTAAACCGCTTAGAGAGGCCTGGAAGGCCTATGAAGCGGTATATAAGTCTACTGCTATTGCTATTGAAGAAAGTTCTGGAATGAAAAGCAAAACATTTTCATGGGGAAAAAAACCCTAGAAAGTCCAGTTGTCCTCTGTAAAAATACATTTGGGCCATTAATGTAGAACCTAAATCTAGAAAGTGTAGTGTGAAATTTCAGAAGAGGAGATATAAGCAATATATAACTGAATCAGTAAGATGACTTCCATGTTTTGGATAGGCTTAGAATTAAGCAAAGCTAAACCTTAAACTGAAGATCATTATTCGTTCCTTACTATGCTCTCTCCTTCTCTCTCTTGAAGTAAATTTATTTCTTGAATATTCTTCTTTTTTCTCTGCTTAGCCATTGCCTCCTTCCAGGTGTGTAGAAAGCTGCCGTCCTGGGTTTGTGAAGGTGGCTCGTGAAGGAGAACCCATTTGCTGCTACAACTGTTTTCCATGTGCAGAAGGAACCATCTCAACCAAAGAAGGTGGGTGACAACAGGAAAATCTTGAGGAAAGCACCAACATTCTCCCTTGAAAGGCTATAGAAAGGCAATTCTAAGTTTGGTTCTTTTCTTGACAATTTTTTAACCTAATATGCAGAATTTATTTCACCATTTCTGAGACTAAGAAGTAAGAGATGAGATTGGATGTTAAACTTGGGCACCACATAAAAATATTGTGGGACAATGAGGGGCTCTGGGATTATAAGAAAAGGTAGCACAGTAGTTAGAATGCAATATTGCAGGCTAACTCTGCTCAGTGCCGGGAGTTTGATCCTGATGAGGCTCAAGGTTGATTCAGACTTCCATCCTTCTGAGCTCAATAAAATGAGGACCCAGATTGTTGGGGGCAATATGTTGACTCTGTAAAAACGCCTAGAGAGGGCTGTAATGTACTGTAAAGCAGTATATAAGTCTAAGGGCTATTGCTATTGTTGTCCCAAGCTGCTTTTCAAAAAGTAGCTGGATTTTCTTGCTTTTCTTCCTTAAAGACATTTTTCTTCTCATTCAAGAAGCTTCTTCAGTTCTCAGCAGCTTCAACTTCTTGTTAACTTTTGAAGAGGACCTTTGAAATTACCATGACCTGGATGAATGAGAATCTCCATAGACATATTGCTGTTGCCATTTAGACAGTTTCTCTGAGTAGTGAGAATCTGAGAGAGGAGGATTAAGTTTTAGGGCTTCTCTAGCACAGCTACTCTATCAACTCAACAGGAGAACAGCAGCTGATGGAGTAGGAGAGTTATAGCAGAGTCTGCCACCCTTCGTTTGCTTTCACTATTATTACAGTGCCAATGTTTTCCTTCTGTAGTGTGGAAGTAGACAATTTCTCCTATGGAATGGAGATTTTACAGTATCCTTCCCCTGCCATGTCCACCAAACCACACCCACCAAGCCACAGAACCGGTAGTAAAATTTTTGGAATCCCAGCACTGTTCTAAGAGTATGGAGAAGAGAGGGTCCTTTCACTTTCCAAAATCATTGGCCATCACCACCCAAAACTTATATTTTGCTTGCCTAACCGAGATATTTTAAGGTCTTCCACCACATACATCAATTCATATTATCATGTCTTCCTTTCCAGTCCCTCAACGTCATCTCTCACCCAACCAGTGTCTTTTATATAAGAATATTTATTTTCTTTCTTTTTGTTATGGATGTTCCTTATAGATGCAGAATCTTGCACCAAATGTCCAGAAGATCAGTATCCAAACATAAACCAAGATCGCTGCATCTCCAAGGCTATAACCTTCTTATCCTATAAAGACTTTTGGGGAATTGTCCTAGCAACCATTGCCCTCTTCTTGTCATTAATCTCGGGCTTTGTTTTGGTAATCTTCATTAAACACTTAAAAACTCCAATTGTCAAAGCAAACAACCAGGACCTTTCCTTCATCCTCCTGATCTCACTCCTGCTTTCTTTCTTGACCCCCTTCCTCTTCATTGGTCAGCCAACCAAACCAACCTGTCTCCTGCAGCAAATGGTCTTCAGCATCATCTTCTCAACTGCCATCTCTTCTGTCCTAGCAAAGACAATCACAGTAGCAGTGGCCTTTTTGGCCACAAAACCAGGGAATAAACTGAAGAAATGGTTAGGGAAGAGCTTGGCCAACTCCATCGTTCTTGGTTGTTCCAGTGTCCAAGTTTTCATTTGCATCAGCTGGCTGGCCACTTCTGCCCCATTCCCTGACTCTGACCTGCACTCTCAACCTGGAGAGATCATCCTGCAATGCAATGAAGGCTCTGCTGCCATGTTTTATGTTGCTCTTAGCTACATGGGCTTCTTGGCTGCTGTCTGCTTTATGGTGGCTTTCCTAGCCAGGAACCTCCCAGGGGCTTTCAATGAAGCCAAGCTGATCACCTTCAGCATGTTGATTTTCTGCAGTGTTTGGGTATCCTTCGTGCCGACCTACCTGAGTACCAAAGGGAAATATATGGTGGTCGTGCAGATTTTCTCCATCTTGGCTTCCAATGCTGGCCTGCTCGGCTGCATCTTCCTCCCCAAGTGCTATATTATCATTCTGAAGCCAAATCTGAATACAAAAGAACATCTGATGTTAAAATAAAACAGTAACTATTATAAATTACCTGTTAATCATGTCGTGTGATAAATCAAAGTGAATCATAATGTTATTTGACTAAAAGTAAATAAATAATGGGTTTGTTATGTATTTATCCAATTGAGTACTTAGAATTATTGTGTGTCTCTACATCTCAATGCATACATTTCTTTAATTTTGGGGCCACTCATCTTTCAAATTGTTGCTATAGGCATTATATTTAATAAAGGCCTTATTAATTGAAGAAATATATAATCAAGGTTTCTTCTAGCTTCACAAAGAGCAGTGACTTTTTCAAACCAAGAACAGGGGATTTATTGTTGCTTTATGGAACGAGATGAATTGTTCTTGAACTAACTGAGGCCAACAATGAAACATCTCACTGCTAACTCACTGCTCACTCCAGCAGTTCGATCCTGACCAGCTCAAGGTTGACTCAGCCTTCCATCTTTCCAAGGTTGGTAAAATGAGGATCCAGATTCTTGGGGGCAATAGCCTGACTCTTATATACCGCACTGTGAGGCAATATATACTGTAAGTCTAAGATGTATTGCTCTTCAAAACAACAGCTACTGGCTATCTCAGTTGCTCATCCTTCTCTGCTAACCAGACCAATGAAGCTCAAATCCCCTAAAAATCATAATCTACAGAGATTATAGAGGAGAAGAGAAAGCTCTGAGACTCACTAAAAGGCAGGAAAAGTCATAGAAAAATCTCAAATAGTTAAGAACAACAAACAGATTTAGATTTAATCTTATTGGAGAAAAGAGCACAGGCTCACTTGCTGGAAAAAAGATTCACACAACTCAAAGAGACTTGGCTTTAATGAATTCACTGATAAAAGACAGGAGTTTTTCTTATTCAGTTTTCAAGATTCTTTGAAAATTCTAATTTATTGGTCGTTAAAACTGGTTAAAAAGGCTATGGGTAGCCTACAATAGTTCATTTGATGACTGTTTGAAGTGACAATGGTACTGGGGAAAGTGACTTAAGGCCATTTTTTTATACTTACAACCACTGCAGCATCCCCAGGGTCACGTGAACAAAATTTAGACACTTGACAACTGACTCATATTTATCATGGATGCCATATCCCGGGATAATGTGATCCCCTTTTGTAACTTCATGACAAACAAAGTCGATGGGGAAGCCAGATTCACTTAATAACTGTTGTGACTAATTTCACAACTGCAGTGATTCACTTAACAACTATGGCAAGAAGGGTCATAAAATGAGGCAAGCCTCACCTAACAAATGTCTAACTTAGCAATATAATTTTTGGGTTCAATTGTGGTCGTAAATTGAGGACTGCCTGTACTCTTGAATCTTTCTTTTTCAATTGTACAGCTGTATAGAAGAACAGGTGGCTCAGTGGTTAAGACGTTGAGCTTGTCGATCAGAAAGGTCGGCAGTTTGGCGGTTCGAATCCCTAGCGCCACGTAATGGAGGGAGCTTCTGTACTTTTCCCAGCTTCTGCCAACCTATGTTCGAAAGAACATAAAAATTCAAGTAGAAAAATAGGAACCCCCTTTGGTGGAAAGGTAACAACATTCCGTGCGCTTTCAGCATTTAGACATGCGAGCCACATGACCATAGAGACATCTTCGGACAACGCTGGCTCTTCGGCTTTGAAACAGAGATGAGCACTGCCCCCTAGAATTGGGAACGACTAGCACATATATACGAGGGGAACCTTTACCTCTACCTATAGAAGAACACGGACAGGACATAAATTTGCATTGCTGTGACCCTGTTAATATTCATGACCATGCTGAAAGTTTGGGGGTCAAATTCTCCACTGTCCCATTTTCTAAGTTTGAAGCCACATCTGCAAGTTTTCCTTTTGGGTGCCTTCTTACTGAATAATTCAAAGCTTCTAGAGGGGATTTTTCCATTTCTTGCAATTATCCTAATCATTGAGTTTTATCTGGTGCCTTTCTATTAAGTCTCAAGAGACCTTTCTGGAATTATGGAGTAAATTGATCAACAAGCACATCAAAAACATGTTTTGATGTCAAAAGCCAGGCACCAGAGTAATCCTGCATTGCATTTTCTCATCAGATAGGTTGGTTGATAAATGCTTATGGAGAAAAAGAGAGCATGGGAAAAAATTTAAGGCAGGGAGGAGCCTTGTCTGGCCTCTGAATTAGGAAAGCCAGTGAAGCTTGTATTTCAGAAGAGAGCTTTCATTTCTTTGACCTGTTCGCCTCATCCTTTGAGAAGTTTGCAATGCACCACAGTGGATCAAGTGAGGAAGTCAGGTTGCTGCTACTTCTCTTTGTGCTTCTTTTGTGGCCTCAGGGAGCTTCCCAGCAGCGCAGAGCCAAATGCCTCTTGACTCTGGAGCAAGAAGAGGTTTATTCGCAGAATTATTACAAGCCAGGACATTATCTCATTAGTGGCATAATCTCTGCAACCCAGGCTAGATTTCTACCCTTTAGCTTCAACAAGACTCCTTCCATTCAATTATTCTTGTAAGTCAGCTCCAGCCCTGTGAAATTGAACAGCTATTTTCCCTTTGAACTGCAACTTATGCTCTCTTTCTGTCCTATTATATTTGGGGGACCCATTCTATATCCTGCAGTTGATGAGGCTCCTCAAGACTATCAAGGAAGATGATCAAAGAAGAGATCTTTACTGTCATTTCAACATAGAAAACAAACATTCCCTTTCTTCGCTTCCTTTAAGCAGAGCTACATTGGGCCCATGGAGTATGGAATGATTCTTCCTTACTCCTCTCTGGTCCATGAAGAAAAGAAGAAAGCCATCCTCAAAGTGATCTTGATTTCTGAAAATGACATGGCTGCAAGTTCTCAGAAATACTCTATTTTCTCCTTCAATTGTGATAGCAATAGCAATAGCAGTAGACTTATATACCGCTTCATAGGGCTTTCAGCCCTCTCTAAGCGGTTTACAGAGAGTCAGCATATTGCCCCCAACANGTCAAGTTACTGTCATGTGACATTTCACAATGTTTTTCTCAGTGGTGGGATTCAATTTTTTTTACTACTGGTTCTTTGTGCATGGCTTGGTGGGCATGGCCGGGGAGGAATACTGTAAAATCTCCCTTCCCTCCCCACTCCAGGGGAAAGTTACTGCAAAATCCCCATTTCCTTCCAATCAGCTGGAACTCAGAAGGTAGAGAATAGATGGGGGGTGGGGCCAGTCAGAGGTGGTATTTACCAGTTCTCCAAACTACTCAAAATTTTCGCTACCGGTTCTCCAGGACTGATCAGAACCTGCTGAATATCCATTTTTCCCTTTCACAGAGTGGGGTGGGCATGGCCTGTGCATGACGCATCGAGCCTGTGGACCGCCAATTCAAAACCCCTACTATTGAAGCATTTTAGAAGAGATATTTGTGCTTCTCTTCTTCTCTTAACTCGCTCATTGTTCCATTTTCAAAGCCATATCTATGAATTCTCCCTTTGTGCACCTACCTATAGAGCAGGGGTGAAATCAACACCTTTGCTACGAGTTCGCAAATGTGTGTCCTACGCATGCTCAGGATCTTCTGTGCATGCACAGAGCATCAAAAACAGGATGTGATGACGTCCAGGTGGAGCCTGCTACCAAGCGTGCCTGCAAAGTTAAGTAGAACAGCGAGGGTGGGGAATCCACCGAGCCATGCGATGTAGATTAGCTAGAAAGCAGGAAATCTAACAATTGTAGCTAATATAAATCGTGTGTCACAGCTCATTGTCAGTAATACCGGTTCACCCAAACTGGTAGCATTTTTTTACTACTGGTTTTGGCAAACTGGCAGCATTTTTTACTACCAGTTCAGGCAAACCAGTCCAAACCGGTAGCATTTCTCCCCTGCTGTAGAGTCATTCAGAGTTCAAACAGACAATGGTTCTCTTCCCTGCAATTATCAAAATCACAGTAATTTATTTCTTGTCTTATAATCCCAAGAGACATTTCTGCAAACTTTCAGAAAATGTAATACAAGGATATTTTTCGATATCAGTGTCAGACTCCAAAGCAAAGTTGGAAGGTGTCTACATTAGGAATGATGTATGTATAAATACTTCTGAAGAGAAAGAGTGAGCCTAGGAAGGATGTTAGGATGGGCAGAGGCTGTGTGTATTTTTGTCCCCTTCAGAAGTAAAGAGTTGGGTGGATTCTGTTTGGATTTTAAAAGAAACCTCTGTTGCTCCTGTCTTGGAAATAGGCTTGGTTTCTTCTACCTTTCTTCTCATTCCTTGAAAGAAGCCATTGCGACGCAGGAGGTTGGATCAGGCTACCAAGACAGGCTGTTGCTGTTTCTACTTCTGCTGCTGTTGTGCCCACCAACAGTCTATGGGAAGCGGAAAGCCAAATGCTTCCTGACTTTGGGTCAAGACGAAACAGACCCACAAAACCATGTCAGGCCAGGAGAGCTTTTCACCACTGGCATAGTCTCTGCAACCAAGGCTCGGTTTCTACCATTAACCTTCAACACAGTTCCTTTGACTCGGATTTCCCTGTAAGTCCATTTTTCTGCACTGAACTACAGCAGTTCCATTTCTGATAGTGTCCTAGAATTCCTGCCTTTATTTCTGGAGAGAGAGAAGTTCCCTGAGGAGGGGCTTCCAGCACAAGTCTGAAAGCTTGGAAGATTAAACCTCTAGTCCTGGTGACCGACTCAGATTGGATCCTGCAATTCCAGCATTAAATTGCCAGACATATATTTCTTGACCTGCTACTTTACTGCCTTAATTTATCTTTCAGGATCCATGATACACACTACAATTAATGGGGCTCCTTTGCAACAGTCAAGTGCAGTGGCCAGGTAGAGATCAAATGTGCAAATTAAACAATTAGTTTGTTTTAGCTAATTAAGTAGAGCTAGACTATACATAAAAAGACATAGCTTGACCCTTGTCTTTTACCTGGTCCCTAGACAAAATGCAAAGGTTTCCTCAAGTTGAATTTTGACTAGCGAAGATAACATGGAGAAAAGAATAAAAAAATTACACATTTTTCCCTAGATTAGAGAAGGCCACAATATTTTTTCGATAACACAATTATCTGATAGTCTGAAGGTCCACAAAATAGGACAATTGGTTCATCGGTTCATCGGTCATTCATTCAGTGATTCATTCATTGATTCATTCATTGATCTTGCAGAGATGTATTCCGAACCTTTGAGAGACATTTTTGTGTCTCATATCCTCAAAAATGAGGATCTGGTGGGAAAAACCAGCAGGAATAGATCAAAGCAGGTTATGAAATTCATTTTTTTAAAAAAGCTAATTATATCACTTATTATCAACATTTCTGATAATATAATTTGAATAATATGCAAAACTTTGGGTGTAATGTTTTAATTTGAGAATGGTATGATGTACTTTGAGTCAGTTCGAAGACAGAATTTGTTCTGGGCAATAATTTTCAAATACTATTTCTTCATTGTCCATGTTTGACAGTTTGACAAAAATGTTTTCTCTGTGTGTGTGAAAAAGGGATACGACTGGGTAGAAATTGTAATTTAATTTTATTTTTTAAAATATCCTTGAGTTGCTGAATAATATGACATATCTCACAGTATCCCCCACATTTTTTAGGAGAATGAAAACAGGCTATTCAAATAAGTGATAAAATTGTAAAGCAGAAGAAAAAGAAAATTACCGCTTATAGTATTTTTCTTTTCCTGTATTTTAATATTTTACTATTTTATAGAACTATAGTACAAATACTACTTTAATATTTTTAGGAAACTACAGAGACCTAGAAAAATAATTTAATAGAATGGTTGTTGTAATTCAGGCATGCAAACTTTTGTTCTTGACTCAATTAGAAATATAGTAGTGAATAATTTTAAACAAAGCACTGCTTTCACTAGTTTTATGATATATTTAAACTTTCAGGAGCACATCCACAAAATACTGGAAAATTCTTTCCTACCTTTTTGCTGTTCAGGAGATCAACCAGGATCCTCATCTCCTGCCTAATTTGACATTGGGTTACAATATCTATGAAGGTTATTTCAACACACGAATGACTGCAGATGGTTTGCTTGACCTGCTTTCAGCCGGGGAGTCCAATGTTCCCAATTACAGCTGTGGACGTGAGAAAACCCCATTGGTGGTTCTTGAAGGGGCAGAAACTGACATCGCCATCCAGATCTCAACCTTTCTGAATGCCTACAAAATCCCTCAGGTCTGTCTTTGCTGATGATGACTGTCAGTCATGCAATTTTCAATCAGAGCTAAATTGAGAACAGAGTTTGATAATTGAAAATGATAAGGAAAGTTTTGAAGGCTTCCAGTGATGGAGCATCCACAACTTCTGAAGGCCAGCAATGCTTTTTCTCCCCTCGTGTCTCCTGTATGGGCCCAAAGAAATACATTTAAATGAACAGAAATTACCACTTGGTACAGATTTAATAAAACCCGGTCGAATGAAATATGTGTTACAATGTAATTCCTTCAAAAGGCACCTAGGAGATTGGGCTCCAATGTATAGCACCTGCAACTATAGAGAGGGCTGATTTCTCAAGATCCCACATAATATTAATCAGAAGAATGACTTGCCTCCAGATGTTGTGAATGCTACAATGCTGGAGGTTCTTAAGGAGAGATTGGACATCTTTTTGTCTGAAATAATATATGGTTTTCTGCCTAAGCAGGGGTTTAGATTAGAATACTTCCAAGATCCCTTCCACTTCCGTTATTCTGTTATTGCTTTTTATATCATTGTTAATTTTAACTGCATTTTCTATATTTTCATCTCTTGTATTAATGTTTGGACACTTTTGTGAAATTTTAGGACCAGTGGTCCAAAAAAGAAATTGATTGATTGATTGATTGATTGATTGGCTCTAGTGGTTCTTTGTGATAGGAAAGTGCTGGATTCAAAGAGCAGTAAGAAGAGGAGCAATGTATAAGCCAAAGCATCAGAAAAGTCCCCCACCCAAGGGTCTTCACGGCAAGAGGTGGTCTTCCTATGGATAAGCATCTTCATATTTGATCTTTATGAATATCAAATGATAGTCTACTTGTTTTCTCTCCTTTTCAGATCAGTTATACATTTGCATCACACATTCTGAGTGACAAGACTCGGTTTCCTTTTTTCTATCCAATGGTCCCCATTGAAGGAGTCCAGTATCCAGTAATTATCAAACTTCTCCTCCATTTCAAGTGGACGCTGGTTGGTTTGGTTGCTCCAGACACTAGCAATGGCCAGAGGTTCATAAATATGTTGATTTCTATGCTGACAGAGAAAGGCATTTGTGCAGTTATATCACAAAGGTTTACAGTGGTTGCCAGTGAATTAAAAATAAAGCTTCGTCAATACTACAAGTGGAAACAAGTCAATGTCTTTGTTTACCATGCAGAGACAAGTTATTTCCTAGAAGGCATAGCAGTTATAGAAAAAGTGCTGACTGCCTTTAAAAAGCCCATTGTAGGAAAAATTTGGATCACAACAGCCCGCTGGGACCTCACTTTAGGTTTGAAGGTTTCCATCTCTTCTTTGCCCAACGTCCATGCCATTTTTTCCTTTCTCATGAAAACAAAGAAAGTGGCAAACTATGATGGATTTAAGCTCTTGTATTCTTTCATGGATCAGTTTCTAGAGGAAGCTTTCCAATGTTCCTATGGAAAGGCTGCATCATCTGTGAAAGTCTGGAGACGATGCAGAGAGAGAGAAGACCTGGAGCCTCTGCCCAGAGAGAAGATAGAACAGATCCTGGCTCTAGACAGCTATTTCATTTATAACACGATCTGGGCTGTGGCACGGGCTTTGAATTTGGCCAATTTATCCCAATCTAGGAGAGGCATGAGAAAACCTGTCAAGTGGTTGGAGATTCAAAGCCTAAAGCCTTGGCAGGTATTTCCTCTCCATGATATACACCTCTCCTGTGCAATTATTTTGAAAAAACAAATAACTTACCGTATTTTTCAGATTATAAAACGCTCCGGACTATAAGACACACCTAACTTTTGGGATGGAAAACAAGGGGGGGGGGGATCTGCCTCTGCCTCCCAGCATCCATCTGGTATTCATCTGGCTTATTTGCTGCAGCCCATTCACTGCATCCCATTTGCCGCGACCCATTCGGTGCAGCCCTTGTTCGCCATGGCCCATTCGCCACAGCCTGTTTGCCACCGCCACCACATGTTTGCCGTCGCCTGTTTTCCATGGTGGCAAACCAGCGCCATATCAACACCCCCCCCACACACTTTTGTGGGTAGGAAAAGTGCATCTTATACTCCAAAAAATAGAGTATTCTAAAGAAAAAATAAATCTATAATGAAAATATGGTATCTTTCCTACCAGGCCATCTTTGTTCTTCCTTTCATAGAACAACATCTGCTTCTTGAGAACACACTGTATCTCCTTTTTTACTTTTTCTCTTTGTATACTGTCGCAGGGCTGTGCCCTATCCACTTAAAAGCTCCCCCCACTGATACAGGGCACACGTCTGCTAGGGAGTAGAAGCTCTCTGGCTCCACCACCTCTGGCTGCAGTCATGTCTCTTAATCTAAATCTGATTAGAAACAACCTATGAGGAAGGATCTGAACAAGCATCAGCCCCAGACCAGTCAGGCTGGATCTTTCTTGGAAAGGAGACTCTCAGGGGTGAAGGAGAGACTGCCAGAATAACAGAATTGAAAGGGACTTTGGAGGTCTTCCAGTCTAATCCCTTACTCAAGGAGGAAACCCCATACTTGGGGTCCCCAACCCCTGAGCCACAGCCAGTACCAGACTGTGGCCCATTTGGAACTGGGCCATGGAAATGGCAGGCAAGCATGCAAACACCTGTGAGAATTTGAAAGATTATTCAGTTCAGTGAAGTTCAGAATGTGGCAAAAAAAAAACTGCAGAGGATTTACCGAGATTTACACATTGTGCTTTCTGTTATAAATATTTTTTCCTCAGCTACATCAGTGTCTTATGCAAAAAAAAATCAGATCCACATAGGAAAATTCAATTAAACTGATGTATTCCTAAACAGCCTATGCACAAGAATCTTCAAGACTAATGGTTAGCATTTGCTTGGAGTTTGATAAGGGTTCGTGGAATTCAAGGGGAATTGGAGCTTGGAGCTACATAGGGATTCTAGTGTGATCTCTGTGGTAACTGTCACCCAAAGATCTGCCAGTCAATCTCCTACAAGCATCCAATTCATCAATATATGGAGCCATTGTATCTTCTCCCCAAACTTCTTTAATAAAAGCCAAACTATAATAGCCTAGAAAAGAAAGCTTATCAGTGCAAGTGATGTTCAACTTCCTTCAAAAAGCACAGGAAGTGCGAACTGAAGCAGTGAAGAGATGGCTATGGCATAGATAGAAGAAATGTTGACTTACTTTCTAAACCTTGTTTTCTCTTTTCCAACCCAGCTTCACTCCTTCCTCCAGAAGCCCCAGTTTTATAATAATTCCATGGAAGGTGTATACTTGGATGAGAAAGGCGATCTGGCGGCTAACTTAGACATCCTAAACTCTGTAGTTTCCGCCAATAAAACCATCACTAGAATGACATTGGGGCATCTAGGAAGGCATACATTTGCAATTAATCAAAATAGTATTGCACGGATGGAAATGCTGAGCAAAGTGAGTATTGCTTTCATTTCATACCTTCTAATGCCTTTAATAACGGAGTTGCTCTTGATTTGGGAGGGGGAGATTGAACTGCCGGTCAATTTTATCTCATTAGTTCTTGATGGTAAATAATATATTATTTGATACTGATATATTATTCACTGCGGTTGTTAAGTGAATCATGTGGTTGTTAAGCAAATACAGCTCCCCCCCCATTGAGTTTGCATGTCAGTAGACAACTTGGAAGGTCATAAATGGTATTCACAGGACCCAGGATGAGGCTAACCTCTTAAATACATGCCCAAATTTTGGGGATCCTGCAATATTTGTGTGTGAGGACCGGTGGCCAATCACTTTTTTTCAGTCCCATTGTAACATCAAACTATTGCTAAATAAATAGTTGTAAGTGAAGGACGACCTGTATTCCATCCAACCTACATTGAAATAATGTAACATTAATCAGAATCAATCAGAATAGAGCTGTAGGGGATCTTGGAGGTCTTCTAGCCTAGGGGTCCCCAACCTTTTGGACCTCAGGGATCACTAAATTCATAATTTTAAATCCCGCTGACCACTAATATGATCTGCCTAATGACCGGCTGGGTGGGTGTGGCCAACTCAATGTCACTCAATTCAATGGGCGCCTTGCCAGCTTCTNGGGTCCTCATTTTACCCACCTCGGAAGGATGGAAGGCTGAGTCAACCCTGAGCCGGTGAGATTTGAACCGCTGAACCGCTGAACTGCTGAACTGCTGATCTAGCAGTAGCCTGCAGTGCTGCATTTAACCACTGCCCCCCTGATGGGGAAAACCTTCCTAAAAACCTTCACGGTTGAAATGAAAATCCCAAAGGTGCTTTTCAAAAGGCAACAGAATAACAGAATATAGAATAACAGAGCTGTAAAGGAACCTTGGAGGTCTTCTAGTCCTACCTGCTCAGGTAGGATACCCTATAACATTTCAGACAAATGGTTATTCAATTTCATCTTTAAAATTTCCAATGTTGGAGCGCCCACAACTTCTGGAGGCAAGTCATTCCGCAGATTAATTGTTCTAAGTGTCAAGAAATTTATTCTTAGTTCTAGGTTGCTTCTCTCCATTGATTAGTTTCTATTCACTGTTCCTCGTCTTACTTTCGGCTGCTTTGGAGAATAGGTTGTGCCCTTCTTCTTCGTAGTAACCCCTTAGATATTGGAACACTACTATCATGTCACTGAAGAAGGAACTGAAAACGCTTCTTGGATGGGAAGAGAAACGTTTTCAAAGACAAAAAAAGTCCAATTGCCTTTTGAAAAATATCTTTGGGACAACCCTGACCTGGATGATTGAGAATGTCCATAGATATTGAGATGAGAGAGTCACGGTTAAGAATCACTGGTTTTGTAAATATATGATTCTCATCAATGAAATTATGTCAAATATTTAATGCTCCCAAGCTCAACAAAAATGAAATTCTAAACACAATAGAATTGTTCTTCTAAATTCACTTTCTACCTTTATGTTCTATACTTAATATTGTCGAATACATAAAATTTCCAAATTTTACAAAAGAGTGAAAAAGAGAGAAATCTTTAAACTAGATTGAATTCTTGGTCCAACTTTGAAGGTATTTATAAAACCAGAGTAAACAAAAGCCAATATTATTTAGATTTGTTTGGAGATAACATGAATTCAGTATGTTAAGTATTACATTTATGCGAGATATTTCAGGATATCAAGCACCCTTAATAGGAGAGATTAAACAATTGATTCTAAAATGCTATGAAATATCATGAATCTGTTTTCTATATTAATATCTCAGGGTAATGATGATTTAAAGCTGACCAGCCAATGTAACGCTGTAACTTAAGATGATGAAATGAGGATGAGACAGAACTGCTGCTTTAAGAAGCCGGGCTATTGCCACTTTAAGAAGCTGTCTATATAAAGGAGGCGATGAGATGGCGTATCTCCTCTGCTAGTGTATGGCACAAAGATTTTTGTGTGCTGCACTGGCAGTAATACCTGCAGCAACCCACCACTGAGATACACACACACACACACACACACACACATCCATCCTGTATGCCTTGTATACAGAAGTCTTGTATATAAACCACTATTTGTAAGACGAACCTCTGTGTCCTGTATTTTGCTTCTGGGTTGTCTCAAAACAGTAGTCATGCTGTGCGCACTCTGACATAATGTTTTTAGGAAACTTAATTCTCACATAAGAACTCTTGATACCAGGTGAAGTAGAATATTGAATAGTATTTCAGTAAAATGTTCTTTTGATTCATTTTCTAATACATGCAGGGGACAATACACAAAATACTGGAAAATGCTCTCCTTCCTTTCTGCTGTCCACCAGTTCAACCATGATTCTAGGAGTCTCTTACTTAACATCACTCAAGGTTATAATATCTATGAAAACTATTTCAGTGAGCAAATTACTTTGGATGCTCTTCTGGACGTGCTTTCAGATGGAGAGGCCAATGTTCCCAACTACAGGTGTGGGAAGCAGAAAAACACACTCGCCGTTCTCGAAGGGGCCAATGCGGACCTCTCTATCCTTGTTTCAAACATGTTGGGCACCTACAAAGTCCCACAGGTATTTATTTACTGAGAGGATAATATAGCCATAGAATTTTAAATTCAAGAGCAGAGTTTTATCATGGGCATTGGAGATGAGGGATTAGGATTTTCAAAGGCAAGACAAGAAACAATGGAGAGAAGCAAAATAGAACTAAGGAGAAATTTCCCGACAGTTAAAACAATTAATCCATGGAACAATTTTCCTCCAGAAATTGTGAATGTTCCAACACTGGAAGTTTTTAAGAAAAGATTGGATGACAATATCTGTCTGAAATGGTATATGGCAGGAGTCGGCAATCTTAAACATTCAAAGACCCACAAAGGTCCTAACTGGAAGCCCTCCATTCAATTCCAGAGTCGACCGGAAGTCCGGTTTCCCCACCTAAGAATCTCCTCCTAGGGCAGCGTCTTTTTTCCTCTACCTGTCCTAATTGAAAGTCCTTTCAACTGTGGAGCTGAGCAGAAAACCCACCCCTTGCCATAGTGTCTCTCCTGGCATGGTCTGCTTTCTCCACTCCCCACAAATCGGAAGCTCCTCTCAAAATTCGGCTGATGACTAGAGACAGCAGAGGGTTGAAAGAGCCACATGTGGCTCCAGAGCCATGGGTTGCTGACTTCTGGTATAGGGTTTCCTGCCTGAGCAGGGAGTTGGATAAGAAGTCCCTTCCAGCTCTGTTGTTCTGTTAAAGGGAGAAAAGAGAGTAGACATCTTCATCTATCTATGAAGATTCTCAGTCTTCCAAGTCATGGTTGTCCCAATGGTGCTTTTTCAAAGGGCAACTGGACTTTGTTTCTCCTTAAAGACATTTTGCTTCTTCAGAACGGGGAGACAAAACAGAGAAGCAAACCATCTTTAAGGAAAAACAAAGTCCAATTGCCTTTGAAAAAGCACCTTTGAGAGCTTCCCTTTGGCTATGGTCCCAAACCAGATGTGAGGACTCTTCTGATGCCTTGGACCAGCAAAATGGTGCACTTAGGGAGCAAGTGGAAAGAAAAGCCATACGTGAGCAGAGAAGTAAAGTCTCCATCAAAGGATCTTTATTTCAGAAGTGTTCGGTGGGAAGAGAATTGCTATTTGGGGGCTAATACGGGTCACTTAATAAATTTGCCTTTCTTTTTCAGATCAGTTACAGTTTTGTTTCCCCAATTCTGAGGGATAAAATTCAGTTTCCTTTCTTCTACCCAATGCTCCCTGCTGAAGGGGTCCAGTACCCAGGGATGGTCAAACTGCTCCTCCATTTCAGGTGGACCTTGGTTGGTCTGATGGCTCCAGAAACGGACCAGGGGGAAAGGTTCATGAGGACAATGACTTCCATGCTGATCAAGAATGGCATTTGTCCAGTTTTGTCTCAAGTGTTTTCCATAAAAATCAGAAACCTGGTGTTGAGTTTGGAACCATTTGCCAAGTGGAATCAAGTGAACGTCTTTCTTTACGGTACAGAGATTAGTTCATTCCAGATAGGAATATTCATTATGCACGTTATGCTTACGCATCTTAAGCAACCTGTTTCAGGAAAAGTCTGGATCATGGCAGCCTGCTGGGATCTCACTTGGGATTTCATAGAAAGTAGCGTCTCTACCTTCCAAAACATTTGTGGCTTTTTTTCTTTTCTTGTGCAGACAAATCAAAGGGTGGCCTTTGACGCTTTCAAACAATTTCACTCCTCCATGAAACGCTTTGTAGAGAAATCCTTTACCTGTTCCTCCATCAAGGATGTCTTGTCTGTGAAGGTCTGGAGATGGTGCAGGGAAAGAGAAGAACTGGAGCTACTTCCTCAGGGAGAGATGCAGCGAATCCTGTCTCTTGACAGCTTTTTCACTTACAACATAATCTGGGCTGTGGGCCTGGCCTTGCATTCAGCCTATTTCTCCAAATCCAAGCGGCCAGTGAGAAACAGTGGTGAGAACCTGGGAGGTCCAAGGCTGAAGGCTTGGCAGGTATTTTCAGGGGTGGGCTTCAAAAATTTTAGCAGGGGGTTCTATGCCCGGTTGCTGGGTGGGCGTGGTCATGAGGGGCGTGGCCTAGTTGGCATCCTGCACCATGGCAGGGGGACATTTATGCCCTCCCCGGGTTCTGGAGGCTTTCTTTGAGCCTCCAGGAGGGCGAAAATGGCCTCCCCAGTCTCCGTAGGCCCTCTGGAGGCCTTCCTGAACTTCCAGTAGGTGGGAAGGTAACAGTGTTCCATGCGCCTTCGGGATTTAGTCATGCCAGCCACATGACCATGGAAACATCTTCAGACAGTGGTGGCTCTTTAGCTTTGAAACAGATGAGCACATATGTGCTAGTCGTTCCTGACTAGCACATATGTGCAAGAGGAACCTTTATCTTTACCTTAAGCAGAAAATTAGTAGCTGTTATGGTTTAAATATTTACAGTTTCTGCCTTGAAAGGGTAAATAAATCTAGAACCTGGGCTTTGTGTAGAGAAATATTCAGTTCACCCATAAGGCAAACCTTATCATAGGACTTCTGGTTTCCTTTCCAAATATACCCCATTTCTCTTCTTTTCCAGTTTCATGCTTTCCTTCAAAAACCCCAGTTTTATAATCATTCCATTGATGGGGTTTATTTTGATGAGAATGGAGACCCAGCTGTTGACTTGGATATTGTGAACTGGATAGTTTACACCAACAAGTCCGTCACCAGGATTCAATCTGGGCATCTAGAAAGGCAGGGAATCCAGGGTTCCAAACTGGTAATCAACCAGAACAAGATTGCTCAGATGGAAAAGATGAACAAGGTGAAGAAACCTCTTTATTTCATGCTTTCCATTATTCTCTTAATGGGGTTGATAGTGGCTCAAAGGACTTCCGATTTCACTTCAGAAAGTTTGTCTTTTTCTTGACCTTTCCTTGAAGAAGTCAATATCTAAACTACTCAAATTCTGAAACTTGTGTGTGTTCTCATCTTTAAATGGGAGCAGGGATGAAATGCTACTGGTTTGGGCCGGTTCGCCTAAAGTAAAAAATGCTTTTAAAAGCTTTAAAAAAAGTTTCAACAATTATTTGTGCAACAATCAGCTGTGCTGCACAATCCATGGAACTTTTTTTAGCATTTTAGTACCTATTTGTCCGAACCAATAGTAAAAAAATTCAAAAACAAAGTTTTTTAAAAAGTTCTGACGATCAGCTGTATGACAATCAGGTGTGTCTGATTATCTGTGAGGTTCCTGATTGTCGCAGGGGGCATTTTGTGTGAAGTCCAGCTGCTTTTACATTGTGCGTGAGTCAGTTGCACAGCCACACTCACCCAGTCACATGACCAACAAGCCACGCCCACAGAACCAGTAGGGAAAATTTCACCACTCGATGGGAGGATAGGTTAGCGAGATGCCTGCAAGTTATTCTTCAGATGAGGTTATCGATCCTTCCCTACTTTTCTTAAAATAAATTCATTTTTCTGGATGTTCTTCTTCTCCTTCCTCAGCCCCTGCCTCCTTCAAGGTGTGTGGAAAGCTGCCATCCAGGATTCAGGAAGGTAGCTCAGGAAGGGAGGCCCATCTGCTGCTATGATTGTATTCCTTGTGCAGAAGGAACCATCTCCACCCAGGAAGGTGGGTAACATTGGGGACCTCAGATTTTCTTTCATATAATTTTAAAGGTATCATTTCAGGATGTATGCTGTTGCAAGTAACGCTGCCATTTGCAACTGACTGAGTGTAATTTTGTCAATACCGATAATATTCAAGTTGTGCTCCAGTTGTTTTGGGATTGCTCCCAAGACGCTGATTACTATTGGTACCATCTTTACAGTTGTGCTTTTATTTGCACACTTTATATTTTGTGGTTTTCTCCCATTTTGTTATGGCCTGTCAGTGGCCAGCAGAGCTGGCAGCAGAGTCAGACAGTGAGGAGGTTGGGGAGGAACATGGGGCAGACTTGGGGGTTGAGGAAAGTTCAGAGGAGGGCTCTGCATCAGAGGCAGAGAGAGAGTTAGACAGCAGTGAGGCAGAAGAACAGCTGGAGCCAGTTCAGAGTGCGCACTTGTGCAGAGCTTCCAGAAGACAAGAACAACTAAGAAAGCAAAATCAACTTAAGAGTAAGCCATACCTTGGTGGTGATTGGCCACTCCCATAGGAAACAAAAGAGGAACAAAGGGGGAGTGGACTTTTGCAGGAAACCATTCATTCATTCAGTCTGGAAAGTTGTTTGTGATTATAAGAGACTCTGTGCCAAGTTTTGTTTTGTCTGTGTTTGGAAACTAGTTATCTGGCAACACTCCAAGCGAGATAAGGTTCGTGCGGATAAGCATTCCTCTGAAAGACTGTTTACTAACATCTTGCTGACTGGAAATGAAAGGAACTTCCAGAGCAGTTTAGCATCTTCATTTTATATTTCTACTTTCTGTATTTTATGGTCCCACCAGTTCTTGCTTGTAGACAATTGGTATTTCTTGCAGATCTTACAATGGACCATTGTTGCTATTTTGTCATGCTGTTATTGGTAGTGAGTGTGGGTGATCTTCTTGCAGCAGCTAACCAGGCAGTCCATTGTTTCATCAGCTTCTTTGCAGAGGCATCGTTTGCTCTCTGTTGTGATCTTCACAGTTCTGGTTTTGAATGCATTTGTTTTTTAAGGCTTGGTTTTCTGCAGCCAGAATTAGCCCCTCTGACTCTTCAAATGCCCTGCTCATAACCATTGCCAGATCTTGCTGATATCTGCTTTGCCTCTCCCTCCCCTTCCCCCTCCCCCTCTCCCCTCTCTCTTTCTCAGTCTCTCTGTGTCTCTGTCTCTGTCTCTCCCCCCCCCTTTGTTGGCCATATCTCTTTTCTGCTCCTCATTTGGTCTTTCCTGTAGGCCAGTTTGGTCTTTCAAATTACTTAGTAAACCTTCGTGTGTACTAGTGTCAGTACATTTTCTTCATCATTCTTCAGATAATCTTCCAAATGCCCTTTTTTTCTTCAACCATCTTATGTAACATTCCATGCCCACCTATGCTCCTTTGTAAGTAGAGTCCATCAATATTGCTGCTTGATTCATTGTCATTATTTTTTAGTCTTTCAATTGTTGGGGGGGGGGAATCCAGTCCAGTTCCAAATCGGGAGAAAGGTACTGGAAATAAAATGGAGTCTGACTGGAAAGAAGGACTCTGTTTATTGATGAGCAGAACTAACAACAGCATGTAGTTCTGGGACAGCTGACAAATTGGTTTGATGAGTAAATGGATTTTTATAAGGTTCTGAGATGCTGCAGGGGATTGTGCAATTAAGTGAACCTTGTGCCTTTTGCTATTCTAAAGGTGATGGGATTAAATACCATCAATATGCGGACGATACACAGCTGTATCTGTCCGCCCCGTGCCAACCCAGTGAAGTGGTAGAAGTGATGGGCCAGTGCCTGGAGGCTGTTAGAGTCTGGATGGGAATGAACAAGCTGGTGCTCAACCCCGACAAGACCAAGTGGCTATTGATGCTCCCTCCCAAAGATGGTCCAGCTATTCCATCTCTCAGGCTGGGGGGTGAAATTATACGCCCCTCAGAGAGGGCTCGCAATTTGGGAGTCCTCCTGGATCCACAGCTGACTCTAGAACATCATCTGTCGGCTGTGACCAGGGGGACCTTTGCCCAGGTTCACCTGGTGCACCAATTGCGGCCCTACCTGGACCGGGAGGCCCTTCAGATAGTCACTCATGCCCTCGTCACCTCAAGACTGGATTACTGTAACACGCTCTACATGGGGCTGCCCTTGAAGAGTGTTCGAAGACTTCAGCTTGTCCAGAACACAGCCGCGCGAGCGATTGTGGGTGCTCCTCAGTACACCCACTTTACACCTATCCTCCGCGAGCTGCACTGGCTGCCTATTGGTCTCCGGACATGCTTCAAGTTGCTAGTCGTTACTTTTAAAGCCCTACATGGTATTGGACCTGGGTACTTGAGAGACCGCCTCCTGCCAGTTACCTCCCAAAGACCTATTAGATCCCACAGATTAGGCCTCCTCCGAATTCCATCTGCCGGCCAATGTCGGCTAGTGACTCCTCGGGGGAGGGCCTTCTCTGTGGCTGCTCCGGCCCTCTGGAATGATCTCCCCGTGGAGATCCAGACCCTTACTACACTTCCGGCCTTCCACAAAGCGGTTAAGACCTGGCTGTTCCGGCAGGCCTGGAGCTGTTGAACTATCCGAGGTTATGGCTGTTGTAGAATTTTAAATTATTGTTTTTATTTTATTTTTTGTATCCCCTCCCTTTTTTATTGTGAGCCGCCCTGAGTCTCTTGAGAATAGGGCGGCATACAAACTCAATAAATTGAATTGAATTGAATTGAATTATCTTATTATGTCCCAAAAGTCATGTCCTATCCATCAGCTGGAGCTGACAGTGTTTTGTTTGTGACTAGATCTTCCTTAATGGGCACAAACTATTCATCTCTAAAGACTTCAGGCATCTGCTAGAAGTTGTTTTACTATATAGGATGACTGGGGCTGCTTTCTGCCTTTAAGAACATGTTTCTCTATTTCTCCTTTGGAGAAATATAATATTCTGCCTCTAGCACTGAGCATTCCGCATCTTTATTCTTAACTGTTTATGTGTCAACATTCAATTCTTATTAATTTTATGCAAATAATAGCTTCAGTAAAAGGTGAAAGAACCAGTGGTAATACTCTTGTTCTTTTCAGATTCAGAAAAATGCACCCCTTGTCCAGAAGATCAACATCCAAATATCAGTCGAGATGACTGCATTCCTAAGATTAAAACCTTCCTAAATTATAAAGACTATTTAGGGATCATGCTAATTTCCATTGCTGTGTTCCTGTCTTTAACCACAGCCATTGTCTTGGGAATCTTCATTAAATTCCTAGACACTCCAATCATCAAAGCCAACAACAGAGATCTCTCCTACATCCTCCTGGTCTCTCTCCAGCTTTCTTTCTTCACTTCCTTCCTCTTCATTGGCCAACCAAGGAGAGCCACCTGCCTTCTCCGACAGATAACCTTCAGCATCATCTTCTCTGTTGCCATTTCTTCTGTCCTGGCCAAAACCATCACAGTGGTGCTGGTTTTCCTGGCCACCAAGCCAGGGAATAAAGTTCAGAAATGGCTGGGGAAGAGTTTGTCCAACTTTATTATCGTTTCTTGCTCTGGTCTTCAAATTGTCATTTGCAGCAGCTGGCTTGGCACTTCTCCCCCATTTCCTGAGTCTGACCTACACTCTCAGCCTGGAGAGATCATCCTGCAATGCAATGAAGGATCCGTCACCATGTTTTACTGTGCTCTCGGCTACATGGGCATCCTGGCAGCCATTTGTTTCACGGTGGCTTTTATGGCCAGGAATCTTCCTGGGACCTTCAACGAAGCCAAGCTGATCACCTTCAGCATGTTGGTCTTCTGTAGTGTCTGGATCTCCTTTGTGCCCACCTATCTCAGTACCAAAGGGAAGTACATGGTAGCTGTGCAGGTCACCTCCATTTTGGCCTCCAGTGCTGGGCTGCTGGGCTGCATCTTCATCCCCAAGTGCTACATTATTATTTTGAGGCCAGAGCTCAATACTAAGGAACAACTAATTATGAAAGCTAAAAGAGAAAAGTGATTCTAACAAATGGTATTTATATCACAAACAGCAGGAGAACTCTTTCTCTTCCCCTATTTCTTTCCCTTGTCCCCATTCAATGGTTTGGCTTTATCAAGACATTCCTCAATTAAAAGAACTTGTTTGCTCTGAAAGACATCTAAGATTGTTTATTATTTTTGTTTTCCAAGCCACTTATGGGCATTTTAGTAATTAAACATTGTTTTATTTTTTTAAAATGGTGACAGGTAGATAATAGGTACAATAGATAGAAAGACAGACTTCTCAACAACTTTAAATCCTGTTTACAATGTAATGAACTCTCTTTTCATGTTGCTGTTTTAGTCCTGATCCAAAACAGAGCTTTTATATTAGTTTTAAGTATTACATCATCCAGGAAGTCCCAATGAGCTGTGGATAGGAAGGATTGAGATATAGGGCCATCAATCAAACAAATGCATTCTAATAACAAATTTTATTAAAGGGCTAGCTTCCATTGCCATTTTGGGCACACAGCTCACTAAAAATCTCTGTACCCCATGGACAGCAACAGCTCAGAGAAGATGATATGGCTCAGCATTTTCTCCAATAGGATAGCAATAGCAATACCACTTAGGCTTATATATCACTTCACAGTACTTTAGAGCCCTCTCTAAGCAGTTTACAGAGTCAGCCTATTGCCCCCAACAATCTGGGTCCTCATTTTAACCACCTCGGAAGGGTGGAAGGCTGAGTCAACCTTGAGCCAGTGAGATTCAAACAGCAGTTTGGCAGTTCAAATCTCACCGGCTCAAGGTTGACTCAGCTTTCCAGCCTTCCGAGGTTGGCAGTCAGCAGAAGTAGCCTGCAGAACTGCATTGTAACCACTGCACCACCACGACTCTTTTAAGGATCCAGGTTGGATGCCCAGAATTGTCTCTGAAGATTCTCAATCATTCAGGTCAAAAGTTGACTAGATTTCTTTTGTTTTTGTTTTTTGTTTTCTTGAAAATATTTTCCTTCTCATCCAAGAAGCTTCTTCAGTTCTGAAGAAATGGAAAAGCTTCTTGGATGCAAAGCAAAACATTTTCAAGAAGAAACAAAGAAAATCCAGTTAAGTTTTGAAAAGTACCTGTGGGACGATGCCCAGAATTGCAGAAAGAAGTACAGTGGTGGGATTCAAATAACTTAACTATTGGTTCATCCAGGGCCAGGTTGGCTGTGGTGGGAGGCATGGCCCAACCTGACCCTGGGTGAACCAGTTGTTAAATTACCCACCCACCCACCACTATCAAAGTGGATCCTGGATGCTGAGCTGCACTGCAGTGGAGAAATGAACAACAGAGCGGCTGGCAGGAGGGAAGGAGGAGGAGCAGGGAGAAGAAAGGGGGAAAGCAGCCTCTCCTTTCTTTGCGCCGGCCGCTTCATTGCTGTTTCTCCATTGCAGTGTAGCACAATGCCCAGAATCCACTTTGATAGTGGTGGGAATGGTAATGTAGCAACCAGTTCACCCAAACCGGTGCAAACCAGCTGAATCCCACCACTGGCGAAGTAGAATCACTGGACAAAAGTTAGAATTGTGCAAAGACTGAAGGCTGCCAGTCCAAGCTAATCTGAATCTCTACCTTGGATTGACCAGCCCCAAAATGGTGTTAAGGAGAACATGATATATGCCCTCCAGAATATTGTGCTTAATCACTGAATCTGATTCAGAGCTTAAGGTAAACATTGAAGACACAAGAAGCTGGTAGAGCCCTACCCTTTTTAGTTACTCACTGAGTTAAAACACTTTGTAGATTGTCCCAGTTTGGTGTGGAATGCTAGTATCTAAAGTTGATTACTTTAGAGCAACCAACATTGAATTTTGCTTTAGGGGAATTTTTTTTCGATTAAGCAACAACAGAACCCTGTAGTGTCTATGCACATATATCTGAAAATAATTAGTAAAAATAATATTAGCAAGCACTTAGTATTTATGTTTTACTTGGGTTTTTGTTTTAAATTTTTATTTTCACACCCATTTCTGCCTTTTCTTTTATTGGCTCCTATTGACAATATCAGGACAATATCAGGAAGTGCTTTCTTTCTTTGGTATCTGTTAAACTAAAGAGCATGAATTAGAAAAACTCAATCACATCATGAGAAAACTCAACCACAGAATGGAAAAACTCAACCACAGCATGAGATGAGTTATGTTCTCTCCAGAAATATTAGCATCCTTCACATGTGTCCGTTTTTAATCACAATAATGACAAAAAGTCCACTCTTTTGGGACTTACCTCATGAGGTCACACATCTGTATGTAAGAAACAGAATTTACTCCTAGGCTGCATTAAGAGAGTGATAGAATCAAGATCCTGTGAAGCAGTGGTGGGTTTCAAAAAATTTTAGAACCTCTTCTGTAGGTGTGTCCTGCTTTGTGGGAGTGGCTTGCCGGCCATGTGACTGGGTGGGAGTGGCTTGCTGGCCATGTGACCAAGTGGGAGTGGCTTGCTAGTCATGTGACTGGGTGGGCGTGACCAACTTGTAAAATGTGGTGAAACTCATTTAACAATGCTTTTGCTTAGCAACCAAAATATTGGCTCATAAACTCTGGCATTTGAAGCACGCAAGTCTTAAAGCTGTCAAGTTACAAGACCCTTGCACCCCTAACCCTTTAGAAAAAAAGCTCCCAAGAGGTGTTCAAACTTGACAACTTTAAGACTTCAACTCCCAGAATTCCTCCTCCAGTCATGTTGGCTCAGGAACGCTGGCATTAAAGTGTGCAAGTGTGCAAGTCTTAAACTGTCAAGTTACAAGACCCTTGCACCCCTAACCCTTTAGAAAAAAACCTCAGGGATGTTCAAACATGACAGCTTTAAGACTTTAAGGTTTAGATAGGACTCTTAGAGGCGGATGGGGTGATTGGTGAGCCAGCCATTCAGTGAGCGGTGGGCGGAGCAAGCATGGTGCGGATGGGCAGGGGGTGGGAGCTGGAACTGGTTCTAAACGGCATGGTAGATTTTTGGAATCTCTTCTATAGAAGAGGTTAGAACTGGCAGGAATCCACTGCTGCTGTGAAGTGTTAGTAATACTTTATAATGCCCTGGTAAGAACACACTTGGAATATTGCATCCAGTTTGGTTGCCACAATATAAAAATATGTTGAGACTCTAGAAAGAGTGCAGAGAAGAGCAACAAAGGTTAGGCTAAAACATACAAAGAATGGCTGCAGGAATTGGATATGTCTAGTTTAGTGAAAAAAGAGACCTGGGGTGACATGACAGCAGTGTTCCAATATCTTAGGGTCAACCTATTCTCCAAAGCACCTGAAAGCAGGACAAGAAACAATGGAAAGAAATAATTCTGTTTTGGTTGCAATGATATAAATAAGATGTTGAGAGTCTAGAAGGAGTGAAAAGAAAAATGACAAAGATGATTAGGGGACTGAAGGATAAAATATATGAAGAAGACTTCCAGGAATTGGGTATGTCTAGTTTAATGAAAGGAAGCATAAGGGGATGATGTGATAGCAGAGTTCCAATATCTAATGGGCTGTCCAAAGCACCTGAAAGCAGAATAGGAAGCAATAGATGGAGATTAAACAAGGAGAGAACCAACCTAGAAGTAAGGAGAAATTTCCTGACAATTACAACAATTAATCAATGAAACAACTTGCTTCAGAAGTTGTGGGTGCTCCATCACTGGATGTTTTTAAGAAGGGATTGCATAACCTTTGGTCTGAAGTGATACAGGGTTTCCTGCTTGAGCAGGGGGTTGGACTAGAAGACCTCCAAGGTGCCTTGCAACTCTGTTATTGTGTTATAAACACACATTTTGTCACTTGCTCCCACTTGTCCCTATGTAAGTTCAAGATGAAGGATCATGTCTATTTCACGAATGTCCAGAAAGGAAAGCCAAGGCTAGATTAATGACTAGCATTGAAGGAGGTCTAAGGACACTGGTGATGTTGTCTCGGTCTTGGCCATTCTGAAAGAGTTCCATCAGAAAAAGTTGGGCCAAACCCATCAGCCTCCTTCCTTGATTTGTAGTAAGAGTTGCATCAGTAATCCTCCAGCTGATTCCAGCACATGGGTGCACACAGACCTGAAGATTTCACAAAGGCCATGCTACTCCTTGTAATTATTAACATGACTGTGTTTTCTTCATTGCCTTCATTGCCAAGGGATTCTTTTCCCCTCTGGAAATGGGCCTTGAAATAAACAACAGGGGCAACATATACTGTAGCAATATATTTACCAGTAGTAAAGTTAGTGCATAAATACATCTCATGCCACTGGGAAGCTGGACTAAGCTTCACAGCCAACAGTTGTTGTGTTAATGTATTGGCTCTAGTTCTATCACTGGAAAATCCTTGCTGGACTTTACGTGGCTTAGAAAACCCATTGAAATTCTATCCTGCTTCAAAAGACTTTGTTCATCTCCTAAGGTGATACAATCACCATCAGATCAGGCATGGTCTGGTTCCTTCTGCTTCTCATGCTGCTCTTCCTGTTGCCACAAGCTACCTGCAGGATACTCAGTGCCAAATGCCTCTTGACTATGGGGAGGGATGCAGTAGAGCCGTTCAATCATTACAAGCCAGGACTCCATCTCATTAGTGGACTCTTCTCTGCAACCAATCTTGCTAAGATCCAGCCATTTAGTTTCAACGTGAGTCCCTCTACAAAATTTTACGGGTAAGTCATCCCATCGATGATGGAGCTAAACCACCGCCTGTGTTTTTTCTCTGAGATTGGCACATGACTATTTTATGCATAAATCAAGCTGGTGTTGTGTGAAATTGGTTTTCTTTTTAAAACTCAATTATGAGCCACGGTGGTGCAGTGGTTAGAATGCAGTATTGCAGGCTACTTCTGCTGATTGCCGGCTGCCTGCAATTTGGCAGTTAAATCTTACCAGGCTCAAGGTTGACTCAGCTATCCTTCCAAGGTCAGTAAAATGAGGACCCAGATTGTTGGGGCCAATATGCTGGCTTTGTAAACCACTTAGAGAGGGCTGTGAAAGCACTGTGAAGCAGTATATACGTAAGTCTAAGGGCTATGTTAGTGCTATTTACTAAATAGTTGCTGAATTGAACTTTTTAGAAGACGGAGTCTCACTGCACACTGACTCTAGACTTTCCTATTTCTATATGTTTCCATTTTGTGAGTTTGCTCTTAAGTTACAGCACTGTTTCTTTGTGGTTCTTTGTTTTGTTGCTGTTCTCTGTCCACATCTTACACTGCTATGTTTCTTATACAACATTTTATTTAAGTACAATGACAATAAAGATTATACTTATACTTATCTTCTATCTTCTTTCCAGTTTTCGCTTTCCTCACTCAACTGATCTAGGAAAGACCATAAAACTTTGATAGCTCAGTGATTTCTGAGTTATATTTCTCCCCCACTTTTACCTAATCAAAATGGACAGAATTGCACAATGCACACAAGTCCTGATTGCTCAATTAACCCATTTTATGGGATTATCCAATACATTCAGTTGCAAGTTAATGTAACAGGCCTGCTGCATACCAAACACTAACCAACACAAACAAGAGGTAGGGTTCACCGTACCAAAGCTTTGCACGTTGTCTGAATGCCACTTGAGGTCTTTCAGTCATCAAATTAAGCCTCTTGTAGGAACTAACCAAATAAATACCAAGATGGGCCAAAGCTAATTGGCAAAACCCTGGGAGGGAACTCAAAAGCTGATATAATCCTTGGTTGTATAAACAGAGGCATAGAATCAAAATCACATGAAGTATTAGTACTGCTTTATAAAGCCTTGGTAAGACCATGCATGGAGTACTACATGCAATTTTGGTCACCACGTTACAAAAAAGATGTTGAGACTTTGGGAAAAGTGCAGAGAAGAGCAACTAAGATGATCAAAGGCCTGGAGACCAAATATATGAAGAACAGTTGCAGGATTTGGGTTTGGTTAATCTAGAGAAAAGAAGGGCTAGGGGGGTCACATGATAGCAGTATTCCAGTATTTGAGAGGTTGCCTAAAGAGGAAGGGGGTCAATATATTTTCCAAAGGATCAGAAGGCAGGACAAGAAACAATGGATGGAAACCAATAAAGGAGAGAAGCAGCCTGGAACTCCTGACAGTGAGGACAATCAACCAGTGGAACCACTTGCCTTCAAAAGTTGTAAATGCTCCAACACTGGAAGTTTTTAAGAAGAGATTGGACAGTCACTTGTCTGAAGTGGTACAGGGTCTCCTGCTTGAGCAGGGGGTTGGACTAGAGGTCCCTTCCAGCTCTATTTTGATTAATTGACTGATTTATTTTATTAGATTTGAGCACCACTCAACTCCAAAACAGCTCTCGGCAGCTCACAATATCAACACAGACAAAACTAATAAAAAGCAGAATGCGAAATAGATAAACAGGATTGATGGAATAGATAAGCAAGATGGAACATCCAATCACTTCATAGAATTCATGAGACAAATATGCAAAAATGCATCCCACAAGGGACACTGAGTACATGAGTATTCTCAGGAGATTCAGACCAAGGGAGCAAGGTGGAAATGCAAAGAAACATAGAAAGAGATCATATCCTTTCATTTGTGGGTATATAGGAGCCAATAATTCAGTATAATTCTTCACATAGTTTCATTCTTCACATAGCTTTTCTTCTGAACTGTTACAGATACAGACAATTCCACACAATCTATTCATACATTCAGTGATAAATTCCCAAGGAGTGACTGGACTGTTAGAAAGCCATTTCATAAGACCTAGGAAGGTAGAGAGATGCCTTATCAGTACCAGGAATATTTTTGGGGCTAAGATACAGTCTTTGATTTACAAATTGTCCCAGTTGTTTCAGTTCTAATAGAATAACAGAGTTGGGGGGAAAATCTTTGAAGTCTTCTAGTCCAATCCCCTGCTCAGGCAGGAAGCCCTACATTATTTCAGACAAATGGTTGTCCAATCTATTCTTTAAAACTTTCAGAGTTTTTTTAACAGATTAACAGAGTTGGAAGGTCATCTAGTCCAACCCCCACCCAAGCAGGAGTTCCTATACCATTTCTGACAGATGGCAGTCCAGTCTCTTGAAAGCTCCCAGTGATGAAGCTTCCACAACCTCTGAAGGCAACTTCTGTTCCATTGGTTGATTGTTCTCACTGCCAGAAAATTTCTCTTTATTTCCAGGTTGAATCTCCCCTTGATCAGTTTCTATCCACTATTCCTTGTCTGGCCTTCAGGTGCTTTGGATTTTAAGTTGACTCCCTCTTCTTTGTGGCAGCCCCTGAGATATTGGAACCCTGCTATTATGTCATCCCTAATCCTTCTCTTCTTTAAACTAGACACTCATTTCCAGCAATTGTTCTTTGTATGTTTTAGCGTCCAGTCCCTTAATCATGTTTGTTGCTCTTCTCTGCACTCTTTCTAGAGTCTTAGAGTCTACAATTCTATTTTAATTCAGTGATGCAGAAATGTGGAATTAATTAGAGATCCTTAATTCAGGAACATTACTTTTCCTCAATGCAGAATGATGACAAAATGTGCATATATTTTCAGGGAAGGAGATGTGATGTACTGGAAAATTCTGTCCTTCCTTTTTGCCATTCAGGAGATCAACAAAGATCCCCAGCTCTTACCCAACATCACTCTGGGATACAATCTCCAAGACAACTTTAGAAACAGACGAATGACTTTGGATGGTCTCTTGGACCTGCTGTCAAATGGAGAGGCCAATGTTCCCAACTACAGTTGTGGAAGGAAGAAAGACATGCTGGTTCTCCTGGAAGAGGCTGATTCTGACATATCCATCCACATTGCTGCTTTATTGGGCATATACAAAATAGCACAGGTATGTGAGTGGAAGGATAGTTTACTGTTTTCCTCATATGAGACTTTTACTCAGAAATGTCCACAAATGTTGGGTATTTATGGATTCAGATTTCTAAAGTCAAAACATATACATATAATATCAGAGTTGGAAGGGAAATTGGTGGTCCTCTCTAGTCGAACCACCTGCTAGAGCAGGAAATCCTATACCATTTCAGATCAATGGTTGTCCAATCACTTTTTGAAAGCCTCCAGTGATGGCGCACCCACAACTTCTGAAGTCAAATTGTTCTACTGGTGGAATGTTCTCACTGTTAGGTTGCTTGAACCTTAGTTCTCAATTACTTTTCTCCTTAATTAGTTTCCATCAGTTGTTTGATTTCAGTCCGTTGTTTGATGTTGATTGATTAATTACATGCTTTTAATTGTTTTTTTAAAATCCTGATGACCACACATCTAGATTTTCTCAATGGCAATCCATTCCTAACCTAATCTTTTAGGTCCAACAATGCACTCATTGATGCTGCATCTGAGACCATCCACCTTGCTGCTAGTCATTGTCTTCTTCTATTTCTTTTTATCTATCTTTCCCAGCATTAGAGCCCTAAAGAAACTGGAGGGAAGAGATGTAATGTCTAAGGGGAGTGAGCTGAGAATCAGGGTTCATCAAGAGCAATCAAGTTGCCTTCAGAAGTTGTGCGTGCTCCATCACTGGAGGCTTTCAAAAAGAGACTGGACAACATTTATTTGAAATGGTATAAGGTCTCCTGCTCACTTCTCATAAGAGGAGGTGTCCAGTGCAAGATATCAGGAAGCAAAGCTATGTTTATTCCATGCTAGTTCTCTATAAGAATCTGAACTACTAATAGTCAAGGCAAACTGGCGGTAGATAAGAATTCGATTGAATTCAAGGAGGGCTGAATTTATTATAGATCGTTTGTGGGCATGAAGTAACTTGAGACTGGTTACATGCTTGACTCCTTCCTTGGGCTCAGCCTGGTCATCTCCTACAAGAGAGTTGGATTTCCTCTCAATTTTAGCCCTCATAATGTCTATCGATGAGATGCTTTATAAAAAGCCTGTAGTGATGGAGCACCCACAACTTCTTTTTTCTTGTTTCAAGGTTTTTATTTTCTACTACAAATTTTCACATATTATATAAACAAAGCATTGTCTGGATCCTTTCTTTTACATGCTCTCATTTACATAATCCATTTTATATCATAATTCTGTTTCCATTTTCAGCCAAATTATTCTCTTCCATTATTTTTCCTAATGTTTTCATAATTTTTCATTATTTTTATACTTATTTTTCTTATTAGATAAACAATATCTTCAATTGCCCCTTCAAAGTTATACCAAATTATCATTTCATGTTTCCTCTGTTGATCTATTTTACTATAAACAACATATATCCTCTAATTAAATTTTAACATAGAGAGCATTTCTTTCATTTTTTTCCACAATTAACAATATACTATAATTTCTTTATTTCTTAATTAGTTACATAATATTAACAATCTTACTACTATTTCCTTTAGTCTACTAATGTAACTCTTTTTTCCTTTCTTCCTCTTTTAACCATTTTCTCTTGGTCTCTCAAGAATTCCACGTCTAATCATTTTTCTTCTTCTCCCCCTTTCTCCTAACTTCTTCTTTTTCTTTTTCCTGTTTTTATGGTTATTGTATCTTTTCTTCGGAGTATTTAATTTTATTATTCTGGTAATTTTCTCCAGTTTCCCTGTGCTCCTCCCTTCTTTGCTGTTTGGTGGTTTCTTTTGGGGGATCTTCCCCCTTGTCTGCTTTTCCTTTGTTACTGAAACGGTATAGGGTTTCCTGCCTAGGCAGGGGGTTGGACTAGAAGACCTCCAAGGTCCCTTCCAACTCTGCTATTGTATCGTATTGTATTATATTGTATTGTACTATAAATCCCAGTGAAATCATCTATCTGCATTTTATTTTCAATCCTTCTTTCTTCCATATTGTCTTCCTGTTCCTCATTTGTGCCCTCTGTCAGCATTCCAAGTATCATGTAGAATTAAATCAGAGTCCAAGGCAAAACGATCCTTAAAGTTCCAGTTTAATAAAGCAGACATCTTAGCACATCTGCGTTAATCCCAATTCTGGAAATTACATCAGAATTCCACCCAAGTTCATGTTCTTGTCCCCACACCCACAATCCATCACATGGTCCAATCTTCTTCTTCCACGCTGGCATCCACACCCAGCTGCTTCCGGTCAGGTGTAAAAGTGCGGAGACAAACGATGACCTTGGTCTTCTAGGAAAGAATGTTAATAATACATTCCACAATGTATTCTACTCCTGTCTGCTCCCCCCTTCCATCAACTATACTAATGAAACAGCATAATGAAATAAGAGAAAGTGTGGCAGGGCAAAATTCTAAAAGGAATATAATTGCAGGCCTGACACCCTCTTTTACCCCCTCTTCTCCTATTTCTTGCTCTGTATGCTCCCTCTGGTTTTCTTTTTTTTTACCAATTAATATTTCACACACTTTTCAGCATCCCAAATAATTAATTCATCATACATCCAAATCTCCATAATACAAATTTAACTATTTTAACAGATTTTTAAATTTTGGGGTTATACCACATTTAATTACAAATTTAGGGTATTCCAAATTCTATTGCTCAATTTTAGCATTAGTCCAGTCCAAGGTGGTGGTTTTTTCACTTCCACAGCTATAAACAGTTGCAGCCAAATAATGTTACAAAAACAGATATTCCTTAAAGATTCTCACAGTTTCAAAGTATATTTTCCTGTAGCCAAGGTCACACTTCATAGCTGCACTCTTGCTTGCTTTCTTTCACTAGCTGATGTAGTACTTTCTTCTTGCCAATATATGGCTCTTTCCAATCCACAATACAATCCAACAGCTGATTGTCAATAGCTGTCAAAAGCACTTTAAATCCACAAAAAATATAATAAAATAAGGAGAAAAGGAACATCTCCCTGGGCTCTTCCTTTTTATGAGTTAATTTCTTCACTTCCAAACTGCAGAAGACAAAAATCCTCTTAGTGTTTTAACCTCCGCTACCTCCTTTTTCTTCAATAAAATTCCCCAAAAGCCAGTTAGCCGCTGATTCAGCTCTGGGATCCTTTTTAAGATCGAAATCAGATTTTCTTTTTACCTGTGAGTTGACTAATCACTCACCTGGTTTCAACAGTCCGTTCCAACACCACTCCTGCACAGATAGCTTACTCTGGATGCTCCAGCTTTGCAGCAGTCATTTAGTTATGGGCGCTGCCCTCAGCTGCCAGTTTGAAGAGCTTTTCTCTGACCTACTGAGGAACTGCTGGTTCCTCTTGGTCATCCAAGATGTCTCTTCTTCTTCCCCATCCCTCCAGTCTGAAGACCTCCCGACAACAGTTTGTCCAGCTGGATTTTCATATGGCTCACCAGAGCCTGCTATTTTTCCAACTGGTCTTTCCGCAACGCTTCCGGATTCTCATGAGCACCCACAACTTCTGAAGGCAAGTCGTTCCACTGGTTTATTATTCTCACTGTCAAGAAATTTTTCCTTAGTTTTAGGTTGCTTCTCTCCTTGATTAGATTCCACACATTGCTTCTTGTCTTGCCTTCTGGTGTTGTACTGTCCCATTGTGTCCATCAAGCTAGTCTGGAGTCATCCAGTCATTATCTGAGCTCTAATGCTACTTTTTCAGTACTATATCATTAGGCGTCGTTCTTCTGTTTTCTATTTCAGATCAGCTACACTTTTACTTCACCATCCATGAATGATAAAACTCAGTTTCCTTTTTTCTCCCGGACCGTCCCCAAAGAAGGTGCCCAATACTTGGGTATTATTAAATTGCTTCAATACTTTCGGTGGACGTTCACGGGACTCTTGGCTGCAGACACTGATAATGGAGAACATTTCATTAGGACTTTCCCTGCTGTGCTGGCACAGAATGGCATTTGTGTTGTTTTTGCACAACCCACCTTACTGAATGGCAAGAATTTCGACTATCTGATTTCTGTTTTCCACAAATGGAGGCAAATCAATGTGTTTGTTTACTATGCAGAGTTTACATCTTTCCTAACTGGAATATTTATTACCGATTATATATTTAAGCTCTTGAGAAAACGTGTTCTAGGGAAAGTCTGGATCACAACAGCTTTATGGGACCTCACTATGGAGATAATATATAGTGATTTCCCTTTCCTATATACCCACAGTATTTTTTCTTTCCTTATCCAGACAAAGAAAAGGACCAGATATGATGGTTTTAAATATTTCTACCATCTTATGGAACAGCTCACACATAAACATTTTCACTGTTCATATGCAAAGTCTACCTTGTCTGTGAAAGGCCGGACAAGGTGTTCAGAGAAAGAGAACTTGGAGATTCTGCCTCAGGAGAAGATTGAGAGGATCTTCTCACTAGACAATTCCTTAACTTACAATGCCATCTGGACAGTGGCCCATGCCTTACATGAGGCCTATTCCTCTCAATCCCTCAGGACAATAATGGCCAGAAAAGATAGGTTAGAAATTCAAAAGCTTCAGCCGTGGCAGGTATTCCCTTCCCCATCTCATTAAAAAGGGTGAAATAAATGGGTTGAACCCAGGGGTGAAATCCACTTACCTTTGCTACTGATTTGGTAGCAATGGGAGCATGCACGCGCGTGCATTCCCACATGCACAGGACCTTCCGTACATGCGCAGAATCTTGCGTATATGCGCAGAGTGTCAAAATAACATCCGGGTGGGTGGGCGGAGCCTGCTACCAAGTGTACCTGCAAAGGTAAACCAACAGCAAGGGGGGAATCTGCTGTGCCATGTGATTTAGAATAGCTGGAAAGCAGGAACTCCTGCTTTCTAGCTAATATAAATTGCACAGCATAGCAGATCGTCAGTAGCATTTTTTTTTACTAGCGGTTCAACTGAACCGCTGGCATCTTTACTAGCAGTTCAGGCCCCCCCCCCCATGAAAGTTCAACTGCCTTTTAGAAAAACCATCTTGGAGCCAAACCTGTCAGGTTCAACCAGGGGTGAAATGCTATCGGTTCGGACCGGTTTGCCTGAACTGCTAGTGTTCCTTGGAAAATATTTTGCTTCTCATCCAAGAGAGTTCTTCAGTTCTGAAGGAGTTTTTTGGATGAGAAGCTAAATATTTTCCAAGGAAAAAATTGAGTAAGTCCGATTTTTCAAACCACCTTTTCAAACAAAAATTTTCATACAACGCAAAAATAGTATTGTAATATTTTTTTTAATTTCAACATAACTACAATTTACAAATATAA